CTTCTCAAGAACAGCAAAGCCATGATTTGTCATATTTACATGGAAGCATCCTCAGATAGTGTAGATTCAAATTTGTTCAAATCATGCCCCCCGGGGATAGGGTGGGGCCACAATGGGTGATCAAAGTTTTACGAAGGAACACATAGTAAAAATCTTTAAAAAAAAAAAAAAACTATTTCTTAAGAACAGCAAAGCCATGATTGGTCATATTTACATGGAAGCATTCTTAGATAGTGTACATTCAAGTTTGTTCAAACATGACCCCTGGGGGTCGGGTGGGGCCACAATGGGTGATCAAAGTTTTACATAGGAATACATAGGTTAAATCTTTAAAAATCTTCTACTCAAGAACAGCAAAGCCATGATTGGTCATATTTAAATGGAAGCATCCTCAGATAATGTAGATTCAAATTTGTTCAATTCATGACCCCCACCCCCACCCCACCCCCACCCCCGAATCACTTTTATATTTAAACTTTTCAACCTTTCAAGACTGAACTGATTTCTGTTCTTTCCTAGCCATAGTGCTCAGGTGAGCGATGTGGCCCCTGGGCCTCTTGTTGTTGAAAGATTATAATCAAAGTATGCATAAAATATACATTCTTTGGTTATCAAAATCATAGAGCAAAGACCACTATACCTTGAAAATATACTATTATGGCACAACTTTCGTATCTTTCCGAGAAATATTTGAAGTCCGTTTAGTCAAGGGTCTTATCACAAACATGTTGATTTACATACCTACCACTACACAAAGTGCAATAAATTGGGATAATTATTATATTTTTGCTATATAAAATGTAGCATGACAAAATGTACTAACCAATTTTTTTTATCAATCATTATGAAATATTTCTTGACTGATTCAATTTATATTTTCCCATATTTCAATCTTTACATATTTTGTCATTTTGTGTTCTTATCATCAACCCAAATTGTTAGAATTAATCTTTGAGGTAAGAGTATGTTTATCCCCTCTCTCGTCATGCTCATATTAAGGGAACTTTTTCCCGATGCGAAATCGAGTACAGTAATTGTTGTCAAGCAAATGGGACAATAAATCTAACAGCATCTTTTGAAAATGAGCTGTAGATCGGGAAAAAATTCTCTTTTATTAATAAAGAAGAGATAATTTTGATTTTGTTGGGTCTAATCCAACATGTCCAATTAGAGAGTTACAAATTATTCAATCATATTAAGAACTTAAAATGTTATAAACGGAAAAAGCAATGAATTTTTTTTTATAAATCACTTTCAAAGGACACTTTTCCCATTATACCTAGAAGAATAATTAATCATTTTTTATTGCATGTAATTTTCCCACTGAAGTAAGCACCTATGATTTCTGTTCACCTATAATTTATGATCTTGGAACATTGCTCCTGAGGAGTAAGGTTCCTATGTTGAAAATGAACTAGAGGCCCAATGGCCTTGAATTGCTCTTCTGATAAATTTTACAACCCTGACATTTCTATCCTAAGTCTCTTGTTATTCTAAATGCTTAGATAAAGCCCACAGATTCCAAAAGTAAGTCAACAACTACTTCCTTGTTAATACACTCTGAGAACCCAGGATGCATCAACTGACCGAGTTTGATGATTCTAAGGATCTCATATCCAAAATATTAAGATATAGCCTTGAAATTCCAAAAGTAGGTCACTGTGACCTACTTTTATGTTGACACAGTCCAAGGACGCAAATGAGTCAATTAGCAAAGTTTTATGATTTTAAGCCTCTTATTTAGATACAGCAGTGAATTTCCAAAACTATGCCATTGTGACCTACTTTTTAGTTGACACAGCCCAAGGACCCAAGATGCATCTCCTGTCAAAACTTGATCATTATCCCAGATCATAGTGACCTACTTTTAGGTTAACAGAATCCAAGGACCCAAGTGAGTCAGCTAGCAAAGTTTGATGATTCTAAGCCTCTTAATATCCTAAATATTGAGAAACAACTATAAAATTAAAAAAAAAAAGAAGGTCAGACTGACCTACTTAGTTTGCTAACTCCGAGGACTCAAGATGCATCAACGGACAAAATTTGATAATTTTAAGTCTCTTTATAATCCATAATGTTGGTATACTACTATGAAATTAAAACAAGATGTGTTTGTGAAACACTGATGCTCCTGTATGGCAACTTATACATGTTAAAGAGGAGGTTAAACTTTCTTAAATGCAAATCAAATATGTTGGTACCCAAAGTAATATCTTGTACTGGAGGAATATACTTGTAAAATATGAAAGCCCTAGCAGCAACCATTGGAAAGATATGGAAAAGGTTAAAAATTTTCAAAAGTAAGTCAAACATCAAGGTCAAGGTCAAAATAAATGGTGCCCAAGGAAAGGCCTTCTCACAAGAAATACACATGTGAAATGTGAAAGCCCTAGCACCAACCATTTAAAAGATATGGCCAAGGTTAAAGTTTTTCAAAAGTAGGTCAAACTTCAAGGTCAAGGTCAATGGGCTATAATTGTTGGTATCCAAAGGAAGGTCTTGTCACAAGGAATACACATGTGAAATATGAAAGCCATAGCTTCAACCAATCAAAAGTTATGAGCAATGTTAAAGTTTTTGCGACAAACAGACAGACGGACGGACAGGGCAAAAACTATATACCCCCGAATCTTCGATACGGGGGCATAAAAAATAAGTTACAGTGATCAAGCTTTATATTAGTCTAAACACTCTAAGGATTCAGGATGTATCAGCTGACGAGATTTGATGATGTAAGCCTCTTATTATCCAAAATATTTAGATAAAGCCAGGAAATTCCATAGCAAATCACCACGATTTATTTTTGCTGAACACAAGTTGTGAGAGCCCAAGTCTATTGGGATACAATTATGAAATTAAAAACAACACAGGTTCAGTGACGTACTTTTTGGTTGAAACACTGAGGACCCAAAATGACAAGGTTTGATGATTCTAAGCCTCGTATTATCTAAAATGTTTAAAGCCATGAAAGAGCTAGGTTCACTTTATGCATAAAATGGCCCTGTCCTTATATCAATTAATTGACTTTCACCCTCAGTCCCATTTCATATATCAAAATAAAGTAGAGACTTGGTGCTCTCATTTCCTATCACAAAATTTCTTTTTGAGAATCCAGGTATTGGAAAGCAGGCTTTGTGAAAATGTAATGTTCTTGAATTTTGCAGAAAACATGCGTATTTGACTAACTTCAGCAAAGAATTAAAATATGAGCACAGCCCTCGATCCAAAAATTAAAACATGTTTTATGATTTTCAGAAACAGATCTTTCATTATGTTATCGCATATTTTGGATCAGAGGTTGTGCTCTATATGAAATATTGAAAAAAATACTTCAACTTTTGGCCATTTTTTAAGGAATTTTAAGGATATGGTAAAAATGACGCATTTCATGACGTCATAATGCATTGACTAGAGAGAAAATTATGTCGTGTTCAGTAGAAACATGGTCACCAAGGGTCCAAGTGATGAATACTGCATTGTCAGCCAAAACTGAGCAGTTTCGATTTTTCACAAATTGACAGGGCCAAGAAAGGCCCTAAGTGGCACTTGCTCTTTCATAGATCACCATGATCTGTTTTTTGTAAACACACTGTGAGAACCCATGATGCATCAAAGATTGATGATGATCTGAGCCTCTTATTGTTTGAAATATTTAAACAGTTAAAAGTGGCCTAAAAATTCCAAAAGTAGCAGATATAATCAGAGGTCTTGGTATGCATCAACTGACAATTTTTAATGATCCTAAGCTTTGATGTCCAAAATATGCATTTAAAACATAAAAATGAATAGCTGCAAAATTCAAAAAGTATGTAACTGTGACTTAATTTTTCATAAACATGTTTTAAAGCCCAAAATGCATCAACTTAAAAGGTTTGATGACTCTAAACCTCTTTGAAATAATGAACTAAAATGTTTTGAAAATATGCCCTAAAATTCAGAATGTTAGTCACATTGGCCAGCTTTTGGTTGACACACTTCACAGATACATCTGTTGACAAGTTTTGATGATCATAAATTTCAAAAGTGTCCAGGATATGATCAAAATCAACTTGAAATAAATACCTGCAATATTTTTTTTTTAAAGTAGGTCACAGTGACATACTTTCGAGTCCTAAGATGCATCAACTGACAAGATTTTACGAACATTGTTCTCGTAATGTGCAAAATATCATTAATTCTAACAAAATATCATTTTGGGTCAGTTTTGATGTGACCTTGAGACCAGTATTTTTGCGACAGGGTGATGCCTTGAACAATTTAAATCTACAATGTATCCTTATCTGTACGCTTGGTAATAATCTTCCCAGTGGTTCATAAGATTTTTTAACAACCACTATATTTTTTTATATTTCCCTAATTATGCTCCCTTGCTTAGGGGTCACATCCCCATTATTAATCTAAATGAAAGCCTTAAGCTAAAGGATACTCTGTGACAAATTTGATAAAAATTGGCGAAGGGTTTCCCGAGATATGGCCCACATTTCAAAAAGTTTACACACACAAGCCAGGCCTTAGCAATTAGCTTTGAGCCTTCGGTTCAGAGAACCTAATTAACAAACTCAATATGTACACTGTATACCTTCAAGTGATATGGTTTCCTCAATTTTCTTTAAAAAAATTAAATTCTTTTTTAAAAAATTGATAGAGGATCCTTACTTTTCAAAACTTTTGCAGCAAATTTTCCTAATTTGTGTCAAATATGAAACATGCGGTCAGTAACTTCAACTTCACATCTGAAAATCAATAAACCCTGTCTGTCCATTAAATATTGATATGTATATCCCAAATGAAAGGGACTTTCTTGTGCATTTTGTGAGTTAAATTGTACATACCCAGTGTTTTCATATATTTTCAATTCCAACCTTAAACTTGTAGATTAATGAACTTTTAATATAGTATGCCAATTTAATATTACAAAAAGTCTAATGCATGGTTCATAGTTTACAGATTTATTTTACCTTTCATTTCTACTACACATGATTGAATACAATTCAGTTTATGTACATCTCTATAAAACAGATAAATTACAAATAAAATTCAGAGGATAGAAGACAGCAGCAGAAAAAGAATAGAAAACATAGTTGAAACTAATATAAAGAGAGAGAAAATCATGTGATTTCAGCTGTAATAGAAGATACCAGTAATTCTGAACCAGTTCTCTGAGCCAAAATGCATATTGATCACACAGTTAATGGAGATATACATGTAGTACATGTATGTGAAGGCAGGCATCTCAATGAAAATGGTAAAAGCACAAGTATTGCACAAGCATTTCAAAATCGAGTGTTTTGTGTTCATAAAATCATGATCTTTGCACATCTGAAATATTTTTTAATAAAAGATCAATCTGTTTAAATCCTTCTCTATGAATCATTGTTGCTGGCTCGTAGTGGAAGTCTTGTCTTGTTTCGTGGGGTGATGTTGGCGCTGTTTACTTTCATTTTTCTGGGTTTCTTCATCTTATTTTCTTTGGTTTCTGAAGTCTGTAAAATCATTACTGAATAATTATAATTAAAATCTTCTACACTGTATATTTTTACATTATAAAATTACACTGAAATTTTTTTTTTCAGTGATAAAAACTAATATAAAGAGACTATAATATATAAGCCTTTAACTAATGAAATGAACAAATTGCAAAAATCCAACAATTTCCCAATTAGAAATACATGTACATATATAAGATGCAGGATGTAGCAAGTAAAAATTCACAACTGTTCAGGATATAAAAGTCTTTGGTGAAAGTAACAAAGGAAAACATGTATTATGCAGTAGCAACATATTCAAAGCTTCTCTGGTATGATTTTATAACTATACCTTGCTGGAGTAACTGAAAACAGACACTCCTGACGTGGTGGAGGAACACGACATGTCACTTCCTGCCTCACTGACGTCATCTGCTATGTCCTTGTGTGTCACTTGGGCCAGGCCATCCATCTAGCAAACAAAACAGAATTACAGATTGTATCAACAAGCTGATAAAATATACATCTTGGTGGTTTTTTGGCTATCAAACTAGTTATTTAGTGTATAATTCACCAAACAAAATTTAGAATGACTTGTATGAACAAGCTGATGGAAAATATGCCTCCGCATTGTTTTTAGCTATCTAAGAAGCATTGGTGTAAAAATTAAACTTCGATGTCATACCTGAATATTTTCCCCCTCTGTTTCCTCCTCCTGGGCGGCCAGTTCTAGGCTCCTCATAAGGTTAGCCTTGATAGGAGGAGGCTGGAATCCAAACTCCTCCAACAACTCCTCGTGGCGCCCAGTCCTGGTCAGATTCTGGGAGTATGTGATCTCTCTCCTCTGTGGGGTAGTACCTGTTGAACATTAAATTTTTTTTTTTTTCAATTTTCATATTAAAATCTAAATTATTTTCATTTTCTTCAAAATTTATAAGTAGGTAAATGCATAAAAATTCTTCAGATTTTTTTTAACTATAGTAAAGATACTTAATTTTAGACAAAGATAATTTACTCTCCAGTAATACTTCATAAAATGTACATGTATACAGGGATGGACGTTAACGGTTTTTGGATTGCCCTGGACAAGTAAATTCTCAGTTCGGGAAAGTGAAACTTTAGATGTACTTGTCTGATCGGCAAGTGAATTTTTCTTAAAGAAATGTACATATTTATTTAGTTTACATTAATTCATAAATAAAACAATATATTGTACATTTGATTTCAGCCAGGTACCTGACTGACATTGATCTGAGTTCTGAATTCCATGGTAGCATTTCTAGATTATACCGTCCATTTAAATTCGAGTTCGTTATTCTGTTTTTTTTCATGGTATCTAACAGTTTTGTTAACTTCTTACTAGGAAATTAGATTATTTATTCACTCACAGAACATAAGAAACACATTATATCCTGATCAAGATATGTATGTTTCGTAGCAACTATCTTCCTTTAGCGTTGCTTCACAGTTATATCTGAAATCATGATTCACAAAAGGATCCTCCCAAAAATAATTTTTAAAAATATGAATTTTATTAAAAGGAACAGCGGGTTTTTGCTGCATGGCAGTGTGTGTTAACAGGTTAAACTGACAAGTACAGTGGTACACATTTATGCACAAAAGCAGCATCGAATTTTTTTCATGTAGCTCAACTTGCCAAGTTGACCGTAGTGTATTTGGTCACATTTTTTTCTTATCATAGCATTTACAGTAATAAATAATATTCTTCTTCCCTAATTTTGGGCAACCAAGATTTGCATTCGGAAAGTCAACATTCAAGATCACTTGCCAGAAGGGCAAGTGAATCTAAAAGTTAATGTCTATCCCTGGTATATTTATGATATCTATTCCATTTGCTATTACCCTGCAGGGCTCAATTTAAACTGTACCTGTTGGTAAGTCTTTCCTTATTTTCTCCTGTAAGAAAACATTGAGATCCTCCACTCTATTTCCTAGATCCGCCTGTAACTGTTCAGACCAATGAGTCATGTGATCATTGCTCTGACAACTCTGATTGGATAGATCAGCTGATGAAGAATCCACTAATTCCCTCACGACCCCTTTACTCATTGAAATCTTTTCTAAGCTGCAGGTACAGTCTGTTTTCATGCCCTGGAAAAAAAATCAAATTACATTTTGTATATTAATTTTTTCCCTTGTGGAATGTACATGTAATCTTGATTACTGTAGATCGATAAATTTTTGCAACACTTTATTTTTGCGACAAAGTCATTAACTCTTTATTAGTGAGATAAAATGATCAGGAATTTTGGTTATTGCTCTATATAATCTTTAAGAATACAATTATACCCAAGAATGAAATTTTTAAAAGCAAGCATACAGTCTCATGTTATTATGTGAAAATAGAGTTCTTGTGAATAATTAGTGATTTACACTATAAAAAATACATTGTAATTCTACACATTCAATTCCATTGGGTAATTCCTACCTCCACCATTTGATGATGAGATTCCTTGGCTGCAGTCACCAGAGATTTTTCCTTTTCCACATTTTCACCCAGTCTCTGTCCAAAGTCACTCAGCACCTGTATGAGCAAACAAATTGTTTTCATTATACATTGTATTGCTTTCAAGTTAATGAATTTTAAAAGAAAATAGTGTATAATCTTCTGTTATGCTTCAAAACAAATCAATTATTTATTAATAAACATATATACTAATTAAAATTATTCTATCCCAGTATCTGCTACATGTAAATAGGTTCTTGATTACTTAAGCTTAACATTTTTTTCTGAGATAGTACCTTGTTGCCCTGCTCCATATTTTCATTAACTTTCTGGGAAATCTGTCCACAAGAATCTCTACAGCTGTCTAATTCACTGGAAACCTAAAAAACAAATTATACAATGCATGATAAGGTTTTTAATATGAGTCACATATCCTTTTCTTATTTCACAAGCATATTATCATTAAATAAAGATAGCCTACCCCCATCACCCCCCCCCCCCCCCTGAACTTTATTCAGTTGAATCGTAACATGCACTTTAAGGCATGAGAGTGTCAGATTGGTGTAAAACTTTGTACCTTTGAGATTTCCTCTCCATGTGACACAAAGGTCTCTTGAAACTCCTTAATGACAGACTTGGCATTATCATGGCAGTTACTGTCGTGTGTGTCAATTTCCATGCTGATTTCTTCCGAGAACTTGCCCACTCGAGTATGAGACTCTTTAGTTGTGGTCCTAGACTCGCTTAAGAGCTTTCTCTTCTTAATTAGAATTTTCTCCAATTCCTCATCAAGTTCATTCATCTCACTCTGAGATTGCTCAAGTGAGTTGAGTTTATGGTTCATCTCCGTTGTGAATTCTCCAACCATGTTTTTCATCTTACTCAGGTGCTCTGAGATGGAGTTTGTCCAGCTTTGAGTTGTCTGCTCAAAATCTTTCTTCTGCAGATAAAAATTTGTTAACCGTTCCTTCAGATTTTCATAATTTGAAAAAAAAAAAAAACATTTACCTGTTTCAAGATGTACCTTGTAAATATATTTATGAATAACTTTTTCAAACAAATACATGTATTCAGACATCTTTCCAAATGTATTTCTTCATTACGAGTATTTTTACTTGAGACACAGATCATTAAAACTCACCTGCTGCTGAAAACGCTCCAACTCTTGCTGTAGCACTTGTGTAGACATCTCCAGTCTTTCTTGAGCACTCTTCATTAAAGTCAGAAAGGTTTCCTGATAGAATTGTTGGTTCCTAGATGCTTCTGATGTCTGCAAAAGATAGAAATGTACATGTATTTGCTCCAGATTTCAATGGATCTGTGGAATAAATAGTTGTAGATATTTGTTGTCCAATATCTTCAGTTTATTGCAATTCTTCGTAGGCATTACTAATTTGATGCAAATCATGTAGTTGATTACATGATGAAAATTACTGATCAATGTCAATGATATCTAATGAATAGCTTAACCAAAAATAATTTTCAAGCAACTAATGTAGACATGTTACCTGTATATTTTGGGACTCCTCTAGAGTCTTCTCTATCCAGGACAACCTAGATTCTGTCTGTGTGTCAGTATGTTGGTGTAATGAGGTCACATGGTCGCTCAGTTTTTCCTGCATACAGCTGACTATTTCTCCTAGCGTGTCTGTTTCACTTCTTCCCTTCTCCAGCATTTCAGCTACAAGTATAATAGTTGTACTAAGTCACTGCCATCAATACTAAGGAACAGTCAAATTACATATAATTAATAATGATTATAACCCTCATCTTTGTTTCATTTGCTACAAGACTGAAATGGGCATCAGCTTTTCATATCATCCTACAAGAACTATGGTCTCATTTTTCAAAACACTCAATTCTTTTTCTAATTTAAAAGTATGAAGTTAAATTACATTCAGAAAATAAAGAATGAAACATGAGGCATCTTTCAATTTTTAAATAAAGTTTGTATACTTCAAACATTTTAAATCCATCAAATTATGACAATCTTACTTTCCATCAGATATCATTATATTTCCTCCACAAACTATGCAGAGGGAAAAAATTAATTTTAAACCTGTGACCCCTAATGTTATAAATGTCAAATTCATAAATTTTCTTCACCCCTAATGTAAATTAGTGAAAACATCATTTAGTAAAATGAAAAAATAAAAAAAAATACTTGCAAACATTTTTCAACGCTGCTTTTTATAGATGTAAATATCTTACCTATGCTCTGTGTACGGTTTGTGTGGAAGTCTTTTTGTGACTGTACAAAAGCCCCCAGCTTGCTTTCTATCTTGTTGATTTCTTTATTAAACGTCCCCTGGAACTCGCTCTGACACTGTTCATTGTGACGCTCTACAGATCTCTTCCTGTCCAGTTTGTCATGCAGTCCATGTACGTCAGATATCGTGGAAGAGACAGTGGACATTAACTACAATAATCCAACAGATACATCTATATTAACCAATGTTATAGTACCTTTAATCCTACTTTTAAACAATTACAAATAAAGTTTATTCTGACGAAGTGTAATTTTAAGCTACTCATTATTACAACAAACTTGAGGCAAAACAAGAAATTGCAAAATAAGCTCAGGGTACAGGTACCTTAAAGTTTTTTAAAAATCTTGTCTATAGGCAATTCAAACCTTTCATAATACATCCACCATCAAGATTTTGGCATCCTTATCCCCCTGATCAAAATTTAGAGAATAGATTCTGTTTTTACCTGAGTTGCCTCCCCATAAAGACAATTCTCAGCATTGACATGCTGTGACACCAGGTAGCGCTGTTCCTCTCGCTCCTTCACCGTGACCTCCAGGGTCTGTGCCGTCTCCTCCAGGGCACCTGTTGTCCGGACCAGGTGATTCGTTGTCTTCGTTAAAGTTTTGGTTGTCTCTTCCAGCTCCTTTTGTGTTGTCTCAAACAACTCATTTATCTGGGAGAAAATATAAAAGGACCATTTTTAAAAAACGCTTTCAAAATATCACTAAATTCCACAATGTTTTTCCCTTTACTATGCTTACAAATTGCTTTTTTTTCCCCCAGAAAGAGCATAATCTAAATTTAACTGTCCAAAAATATTTGGAAATTCCACCAGTATATACTGGCTAGTGGCTTAACAAAAATGATGCAGAATTTTTTAGTTCTCCTACTTTTTCCTTTTCTTTTGTGAGAACTTCTAACTGTTCTTCCATTTCATGAATGGAATCTTCCTGTTGCCTAATCTTAGTCTGCATGGCACTGTCAAAAGAAGATCACAAGTTATGTCCACATATTCAATGTCTTAAATGCTCAACAATCAAAACTTTAATTTAAACATAAAATGTTCGCCACTCAGACTAGAGAATCAAGGGGCTAGTAATGTATGTCTACTTACACAATGTGAAATAAGACTCATGAAAAACATTTTAGCCGAGTCATGAGGAATAAATATAAATATGTCAAAATTAATCCTTAAGATTCATAAAAATTACATGTAATTTTCTTCAGCAAGAAAGATGCCATTTTTCTCCCGCGCAGCCTGGAGGTCTCGTCTTAGTCTCTCTATTTCTTCATTGTATGTCTGCAAAGTACACGTAAATAAAATATTTCTGATACTGATAGATGACAAAAAATACATTGAAAAATTGCTATCCACCCTTTTTGATTCCTGATGGACAAATACATGCAGGTACATGTAGCTGGGGGATATTTCTTTAATAAGGAAATATGGAGATAACGAACAGTATTCAATCTTGAAAGTCCAATGAAATGATACAAATTTGGAGCAGAGCAAACATGGACCTCAAAATTTAGAGGTGAGATCAGGTGCCATGGAGGAGTAAATAAATAAAGGAATCCAGACTTACCCTCAACAATGCTTTCTTTGTAAGTTTCTGGTTTACTTCTGGTTGATTCTGGATGTTCTTGGCTCGGAAAGCATAATCTAGAGTACTGAGGGTTTCCTATAAAAAGATCAAATTAAATTCTAACATCTTTTTCAATAATCAAGAGGTCAGTAAGAATTACATTATTTTTGTCATTTGCTTACATGAAATGTACATATTCAAGTTTATCAAGCAATTTTTCTATCTAATAGTAATTACGTATGCTTCTTTGTAATTAAAAATGTTTATCATTTGTTTAAACTACAGGTATATTTGTATGTACACATGTACTTGTTAAGAACCCTGAAATCACACCTCTAGATTGCAGGAGGCAGGTGAAATGGTGGCTATAATGGAGGTCTTTGTTCTTCCTCCCAGCGAGTCTTGTAAAAGTCGAGTCAGTTTACTCTCTCTGAAACCATAATTAATATTCAGATACATGTAAAGGTAATGTTCATGGATGAATGTACTTCTATAGACAATGGTAAACTTTTACTGAAAATTTATTAGAGTGTGATTTTGTATTTTCTTTTTTTGCTGAAGTTGCTTTTCAAACTTGAGATTTTTAGTATAAAGTTCAAAATTAATAATTTATCAAAATGAACTAACAGATAAATTATAGGCACTAATTCTAAATCCAAAGTGTAATTTCTTTCATTTCTTTAACAAGCTTAAAAATCTCTATCATACAACATAAACCAGTGACAGGTTACCTGTATGGGACATGTGGTGCATGTTCCACCAGAGCTGTAATAACCCGACCCAGGGTCAGCAAACTCTGGTTAATGTTACCGGCTTCCCTGGCTCTCTTGTCAACTGCACCAGAACGACCTATGTTTTCACTTCCAGCTAAATCCACCTAAAAAACACAAAATACAATCTTTGTAAAAGTACAAAACTGCATGTACATGAACCAAAATATGAACTGTGTAGTAATGAATCTATTTTCATCAAATCAACACAACTTAAGAGCTTGCTATTACAATTTTTAAACAAATACTGTGAGAAATTTTTTGTGACGTTCAGTTTTCATGGATTACTTTCATTGATATGAAAGTCAGCTTTTAAATTTATAAATTTCTTTTAAATAAAAAAATTGATGGAAAATTTACCATTGAAATCCAGAAAAAAAAACGACACCCTCCTTTCCACTGAAGTACAATGATTCCACAGTATCAAATGGACAACACATTTAAAGGTGCTTAGACACAGATTTGAAGTTAATATTTTCTCAAATTTTCTGTATAATATCAGGACTTATATATTGCAATAGCATTTCACACGAAAATATAATTAAAAACTTATTTTATCCGGAAATTATTGGAACTACGAATTCCTGGACGCGTTTGATTAACACATCCTTGCACTTTCACAAATTTTATCTTTATCCTTAATATTTAAGAAAAGAAGCGATTTTGTTGTGTATTAATGAAAAACATATACATCTATAATCCAGAAAATTCAGAGTAGAAATGTGCGAAAGCAAACCCCCTCACTAATAGCATCAGCCCGTGCTCAGTGTTGTGTACAGAGTTTAACAAATTGAATACACCCGTGAAATGTAAACTGTTGTTGTAAACAGGGCACGAGCTCTGTTGTTGATAATGTGTACGATTCACCGGGTGTGTTCAATTGTTAAAGTCTACACACACCACTGAGCACGGACTGACAATACTGTGAGTGGGTTTTGCTTTCGAACATTTCTACTCTGAATTTTCTGGATCATAGTTTTAATATTTTTCATTAATACACAAGTAATTGCCACTTTTCTTAAGTATTAAAGAATAAAATTAAAATTTATGAAAGTGCAAGGATGTGTCAATCAAACGCATCCAGAAATTTGAAGTTTCAATAACTTCGAGATGAAATAAGATTTTTATTGTATTTTAGTATGAAATGCTATAGCAACATATAAGTCATGAAATTATACAGAAAATTGGAGAACATATAAACTTCAAATCTGTGTCCAAGCACCTTTAACACAATAATTGTCAAGAGAAATGTCATTTCAACATTTTTACAAACCAGATAGAGTTTCCCTGTCTTCAGCAGTTCTTCTCCATCTATTGTGTTCTCCTTGATGTGTATAGTTACAGAAAACACAGTATGAGAACGACTGTAATTAAAAATTATATACAGTGTAATTCATTGATTATATGAATATTTATCACATGCAAATTATGGATAATGTATATAAGGTCACACCAATTTGTAAAATAGTTCTTCAGATTTTCAAAAATAAAAAAGGGAGGCGAGAGGGCAAAATGATTTTACAAATATTATTTTTCATTTTTGGGGTAAAAAATTATGAGGCGAGCTAATACAAGTAATATAAATTTTTTTGAAATGAAAAAAAGATGATATCAAAGAGCGAGTCCTTCAAATATAAAGACTTAAAATTATTAGATATCATTTGTATACCACATGAACTTATGATTTTTAACTTTTTTGATAATGTTTTCAATAAATAAAAAGTTTCAGGTTTCAAAAATATTTCATAACAAGTAATGTTTTGCTACATTTAAAAAGGTCTTTTTGAAGAATTTCCTCTCCAATTTGTTGTCCAATCTATCAAATAATTAAATAAATTCTGTGGTCTTGTTTGCCTGTAATTTTTGCAGGGAGAGAATAATTTTTGGAAGCATTTATAAAATGTGAAAATGTGTCTACTTTTTGTTTGCCATGTTTTGAATGAGGTACGTGTTACGTACGTTGCAATTTAGTTCATTTCTACAAACGTTCTGTTCAGTTCCATGCTAATTCCTACGGACATGTCTGGTCTTGAAGTCTCAATTACATCGCTCTCAGATTTTTTTTTTATTTTGATAGAGCAAACATCATCAATATTCACCAAACCTTTCGTGGACTTTTCGATGTTCTCTTTAAAGCAACATCGAACAGCGCTTCAAAAGTTTCCTAGTTCCTATCTGGTTCTAGTTCGATTGCAATATAAGGAAAAAATTCACATCCACTGTTTTTAACTATTGATGTATCGTACATATATAGCGTGGACAGGCATCGTGAAAAACTTCACACAATGACAGATTGTTACACAGTCTTCAACACATGTTCCGAAGTCTGTTGTGCGTTTGGTGTAAAAAGTTGAAAAAAAATGTACTCATATATTTTTGGATGCGCGGGCGGACATATATTTTTTTTTTTATAATATTATAATTTGGAATTGTACAAATAGAAGCGGCAAATCCGACGAACTATATTACAAATTGGTATGGCCTAAAGTGGTTCTGTTACATTTACTTCTATAAGTTGTAAACCTTCAACTAACTAAAGCTAATAACATTTCTTTGAAAGGCAAGCTTTTTAAATAATAGTACATGGATTTTCCATTTAATCTTGTATGAAACTAAAGTTAAATAAAAGAATATGGAATTTCTTTGTACACATTTCATGTGACATACATTTTTTTTTAAACACAGAAAATTAGCTCAACTCCCTGTATCATTACACTAAAAGTTAGTTTATTTTGCTTTTGTCAAATTAAACCATTAAAATTAAGTACATTGAGTTGGTGAAGAAAAATGAAATGCTGACCTAGATGTGGCATTCATGAGAGTTGCAGCTGTCTGTCTTCGAGCTGAGCCCCTTTCTAAGATTTCAAAAACTTCTGACTTGTTTCTGACTACCACTTCCTCAAGGCCTTGTATAATGACTGATCCCTGTTATCCAAGAGAGAGAAAAAAGTTTTGCTCAAATCGAAAAATGGCTAAGAATGATTTTTTAAATAGGAATTTGTTAAAGATCTGTGAAAGACTGTAGACATCACTTGCAAAGTAATTATTGATGTCTGTGTTTTGCATAATTAACTTTAAAACTAAGTTTTTCAAAATTTACACATGATTCAATTACTGTTTTTACAATTTGATAAGCATTACCTTTTTTTTTAAATCAACTGAACTACTGAAAATCAAAAGTATTTGTACATCTGTATGTACCTTTTTAGTACTGTCTTCATAGATCTTGAGGCGGAGGGCATCTTCTGAGGACCCCAGCAAGTCAAACAGCTCCTCATTGTAGAGTTCCAGGAAGGACACCCTCACAGAGAACTCAACATCCTACAGTCACAGTAATGAAGCAAACATGAAATTTACAGGATAACATTCAAACATTCACCAGATTTACAAGATAAAATTCAAACTTTTTCAGGATAAAATTCAAACATTTACAGGATAGAATTCAAACTTTCTTGAAATATTAACTTTATCAAAATTTATCACACCTACAAATTTTTTACCCACAATTTTTATCACATTTATTCCACATTTAAATCCTAAAATACACTAAACTGTCAAATAAAATTATTGTCTCAAGTTTAAATGCTAACAATGTGACTAAAATTTTGGTTTAAAAACTGGCTGCATGCATTTCTACAAACCTGTGACTTAGAGAGCTGTTCAAATATGTTGAACATGGCTCTAGGAATGATTCCAGCCAAAGGATCCTTCTCCCAGGACACATCATGACTTTCCACCCGCCCTCCCTCCATAGTGAAGGTTTTACCTGTACCCGTCTGTCCATATCTAAAAATAATGCAAAGGAAAATAAGGCACAGATCAAATACCTCAACAAAAGAATGTGCTGTTATTTTTTGTTTTATTTTTTTCTTTCTTAAAAACTGTATTAAATTACAATTTTGGAAAGAGATCTAATGTTAAATATCTATTCAAAGATAAAAATAAATGTAGAGAAATAACTCAATCAATGCACACATAGTAAGAAATTAAATATTCTTTTTTTATTAAAGAAATAAGGTCAACACTAAACAATATCTCTCTTAGTTTACAAATAAAGTTTACTCAATTAATATGGTGTTATATCAATCGAATTAAAATCAGCCCCTTTTTCTGCCAACAATAAGAGAATGGGGGCTGGTTTAACAGACTGGATGCTATACATACGCAAAAATGGTACAGTTATATCCCATGAGTACTTCATCAATAATGGGTGTGACAACTTTCTTGTACACATCGATCTGTTTTGCTGCTGGTGGAAAGACATGATCAAAGAAGAAGGTTTTTGTGTTGGGGTTGACACCTAATCTCTCCTTCACGATTACTTCCCTTTTCTCCCCACTACAATCCACCACTGAGTAGGAAGCCTGCTTTTTCTCAATTTCATTGATAGGCCTAGAAATAACAATAACACAAACATTGGAAACTTATGGAAAAGGACATAGTTAGAATAATCTAACTGTGTCTTGGGACAAGCCCTCTCTACAGTTAGAATATGTCCCATATAGTTGCAAAGTAGAAAATCGGAGTGGATCTGATCCAAAATGATTTTGAACAATATAAAATGAGTTGCACTGAAAATCATAACCAAATTAATCAAAACAAAGCTTTTTGAGCTTGCTTAGGCCTTTTAACCTCAAAATAATCCATATAAACATGAAAATTCAACTCATCTTCTCAACATTTTTTCTGGCTTCGAATTTACACGCCATGTGACATTCAGAATTCTCTGGATTGTTCACAGTAAATGCACTGAGTAAGAGTTATTGCCTATGTTTATTTTGCTACACTGTCAACAGACATAATGAATTCTATCTTTAAACCAGGTCTGTAGCTAGGACAATATCATTTTAATGATAGAATGTTCTATTTAAACAAAGTACACAGGACAGTTTTGGACTGGAAGTTAATGTGAAATATATAGAGTATAATGAGCATGTATAACCTTTTCACACACATGTACTTACTCTATCTTTACATTAACTTCCAATGTCTGTGACAAAATACATAAAATGAACTTTCTTGTGAAGTTAGTACTGGATGAACATGAGGAAAATTAGACATGTTAGACCAACAGACTAGCAATTATTTTCAATAACTAACAAGCCTATGTTTGCTTTTATTTACTGTAGAAAATGCATTTTTTAAGAATTTTTATTCCACATAGCACGACTACATGTGGTGTACTAAGTATGTAAATGCCAAATGGGGATATGTTGATGATATCATAGGGACATAAATAACAACCTTTATGGCACAAAAATTTGTAGTGTTAGTAATTTGAAAATTTTGATTAATAATTCCACCCGTGAAAATTGACTGTCATAGAGTCTATTCAACAGTGACAACAGTTATTCATGTCGAATGATCCGACAGTGGATTATGAATGATCTGACACGCCTTTTTTCACATTATCATATGAAGTATATTACCTGCATCGTACAGACACTTGGATGTTTTGATTTTTCTCCTTTTCTGGTTTATTCTTCATTTTCTTTTGCAAAAATTCCACTTATCCAACACTCACACTCTCCTCTGTTTTGAAAATGCCTGGCTATTTTGAAGTGAACCAATGAAAATGCAGATAGCAAATCTCCATTCCTGTACAATAATCTATTTCATTGGATAAAAATTTTTGATAGCGCCACCTATATAACATATACAGGAAGAACGATCACTCTTTTTGAAACATATTACATCCTTCTTAGAGTAAGACTCAGTCAACATTTAATAATTTTGTGAGAGTATACTTAACGAATTCTAATATTTTTTCACCGTAAAGAATAAAATATATTGCAAACGTATATTTTTTTTTCCACAAACAATAAATATCGTTCATGTTTATAATTCGAAATATTTCATTTCAAATATATCGAAAAATTAATTGTTAGTCATTCTTAGTTTAAACTTTAAGAATTTATAAAATAAAAAACTGAAAATCTGCACTGATGAAAAAATGTCTCATATTATATCTAAACTATTGAAACATATCATTTTCTCATAAAATGTTACCAAACCTGCACTCATTCATCCAATAGATAGTTTTCAGTAGGCCCAAATTATCAAGAGTTATTTCCCTTTGGCCGCCATATTGGAGGTCAACATGCTCATATTCCTTCATTATTCAACCAACTTTAACTTTATATACTGGCCATTGTGGGGTAGGCAGCATTGTTTTTTCTAAAAAATATACGTTTGGTAAAGCCTCCTTTTTTTCATAATTTTTATTCCATAAAGATTTTCCTCCAAATATTTCTGCTACACCCTCTTAAATTTGGTAAGACAAAGAGGAAAAATTACCAGGTTGACCACCAAAATGGCGGCCAAGGGAAATAACTCGAAGAGAAAATATGTCATATGAAAACTATCTATAAATATGCGTTTAATATATTTTACAGATAATTAAACTACATTGAATACATATGGTATATCCTCGTAAGATTATCTTTATATATAATAAAAAAAGTCGAGCTACTATATATACATTCATAATGAGATTCTATGACGTCATTAATTCATGGCCGTAGGAACCGGGGGGCCCCCCGTGCCCCCCCCCCCCAATAATTTTGCCGATATATAGATTACTATAGAAAACATAGATACCATATGCCTGTGCCCCCTCATTAAAAACGTCTGATGACCTTTTCTTTTTTTTTCCTTTTTTTTTTTTTTTTTTTTTTAGCTTGTCAAGAAATTTTTGGTAGTTGATATTGCCCCCTCAACTGAAAATGTATGGCTGTGCCCCCCCCCCAAACTGAAATTGCTTCCTACGGGCCTGTTAATTAACATAGCAAACGGAAGCTCGATCAAATCAAACGAGTCGAGGGAAATACATAAAAAAAGAGATATTTAATTTAAAAGTATAAATTTTAAGATTAAGGTATTCCGATCCCCAGGTTCTGAAAATCAGCAGTAAGTGATTGAAAGTGCTCCAAAAATGTCTCTGAATTCACAAAGTAATATGTATTTACCCATGGTATTTCTTCTGTAAGTTCATAATTATTATATAGTTAATCATGTTAATTATATATATAGGGAAAACTATCAAATCTCAAATATATTTTTAGGAAATGCGAATGAAAACAACAGCTATGCATTTCTTATTGCAAATTGATCAACAAATAACAAGAGGCCCAAGAGCCTTCACGGTCACATGCGTATATCATGGCCGTAGGAACCCGGGGGGGGCACGGGGGGGGGGGGGCGTGCCCCCTCCCCCCCAATAATTTTGCCAACATATAGAGTACTATAGAAAAAATAGATACTATATGCTTGTACCCCCTCAATAAAAATGCCTGATGACCTTTTTTTTTTTTTTTTTTTTTTTTTTTTTTTGCTTGTCAAGGAATTTTTGGTAGCTAATAGTGCACCCTCAACTGAAAATGTATGGCTGTGCCCCCCCCCCCCCAAAAAAAAAAACCTGAAATTGCTTCCTACGGGCCTGTATATAATATGCAACAATTTAGAGGATCCATAGAGTATACTGAAAATAAACTGATAGATGAAGCTTTGTTGCCCAAAAGCAAGAGAAATAGGATGATCAGGATCAAAGAAATAATTAGTCTATTATTCAGCAACAACTCATACATTATGTCCTAATTTGTCCCCCATCTATCACTAATCACCATGATTTTTCACTATATTATAAATAGAGCCCCACCCTTACACCAGAACATTTGACCCAGGGACCTTCTTTGCTTTATAAAGCTTTTATTTATAAAACATAATTATTGAATATTTTAATTTATTTAAATTATTATTATTGAATATCTTTTATTTATAAAATATTCCTTTTAAAAGAATATTTTCAAAGAAATTAAGCTTTGACACTATGAAATCAATAGAGCCCCACCCCCACCCCCCTTTTCACCAGAAACCCCCAACCTGGGGCCATGAATTTCACAATTTTAGAAGAGGCATCCTTGCTTATCGTAACTATGGACTTAGTTTGTTTAAATAATACCCAGGAGCAGAGAAGAAGATTTTCAAAGAATTTATGCATTTTCACTTTATTATCAATGGAGCCCCGTCCTAACACCAGAACCCATGACCCAGGGGCCATGAAATTCACAATTTTGGAAGAGACACCTTTGTTCATCAATGAATGATTCAGGTGACCTAAAAATATAGGTATTCGAAGAAATTGCATGTTTTTAACACTTGTACTTTATTTGAGTTCTTTTATTTACTTCAATTGTTATATAACACTTAGTGTAATAAGCCTGTGCTATTATTAGAAGACATCACAGATCCCATATGTTTTCATATCATGCTAATAAGAATTGGTATTTAAGGTTAGATTAAAGGAAATTTGATTTCTCTAAAAATAATCTATTTTTTATACTTTATTAGGGTGCAAATGATAACTTTTATTTTACAACACAGTTTCCAAGGCTTCGAAGATCTAGAATAATGAGATGCATGTAATGAAAATTGTTGCACGAAAAGATTTCATTTTTTTAAAACTTAGTTAATTAAAAAATAATTTTAAGAGTTATCCTTCCTTACTGAGGAACGGATATCCTTAATTGAATTTGTCCTTTTCTTATTTTTTCTGCATTAGGGGATTTACCTAACAAGGCCTAAAAGCGAATAAGCATACATCAGAGGTACCTTTTCTTAAATACATACTAGTAATTGTTCAATGCTTTGTTTAAAAAAAAAAGTTGTCTATACGATCTCCTGTTTCCATTTTGTGAAACAATGGAAATATCAAATTTTGCTAACTGTTTTACTATAATATGATATAAGTCATTTCAAAAAAGCTTGAAGTTTTGATTTACTTTTTTATTTTATTTTTTATTTGAAGTGAAGGCTAGTTTACTTTCGGGGGAAAAGAAATCTCTGTATGTCAAGACTGTAGCTCTACTGACGTGACCATGGCCATAGTTTGACATTTTTGATTATATATATATATATATATATATATATATATATATATATATATATATATATATATATATATATATATATATATATATATATATATATATATATACTAGTATTAATTCTCAGGAACACCGTTCATCGAAAATAAAGAGGAGAGAGAATACACTGTTCTGAGATGTAAAACTATCTAAATGTAATTTCCGCATTTGTTCCAAGTCTGGAAAAAACACTTTCTACAGTAGTAGATGTATAAAAATTAATGAATAAATAAATAGATAAATACCAATATGAATATTTTAACCTTATCAGTTTTATTGAAATCAAATAAAATGTACAATGCGAAGGACAAAATTCAATATCTATGAGACATGCAGTTTCACAGATTGTTCTACATGTACATGTAAGTATTTTAGTAGCTGTACAAAGTAACATTTCACCCCTAGAAAACAATCCTGGATCCGTTCATGGGAAGAATTGATCTATTCTGAGCTTGGGCATTTTCCAATAGCTGTTACAATGAAATTTATATTATTTAAATATTTGATCAAATTAAGAACAACAGAAAATTGCATTCTTAAGACTTGTTATGAAAATATGGTATTACGAAATGACAAATGGATATTACAAATTAAATTAAACAAGATGTGTTTGTGAAACACTATGTCCCCGATGGTAACACAGTTCTGGAGTGGGACGTAGACTACAGTGCAATATTATGACCAATGTTAAAGTTTTTCAAATGTAGGTCAAAGGTCACAGTTGAGGTCACATGATCAAAAATTTCTGTACCAATGGAAAGGTCTTGTCATAATGAACACTCATGTCAAATATTAAAGCCTTACCCTTGACAGCGCAATAGTTATGGGCTAGGTTAAAGTTGACAACAGACAGACAGGACAAAAACAATATACCCACGGGATCTTTCGATGCGGGGGCGCTGACTTTTTAGGACTAGGTCTGGACAGAAACCCATTTAAGGTATGTCACTCGTCAGCTTTTTAGAAAAGTTCAGTCAGAACCTTTAACTTCAAAACTATTTATTACAATTCAATTTTTATAACAAATTTAAATTAAACAATGCAAATTATTCAACATTCAATTAAAAAACTGCTCTCAGATTCATAAAGAAGCAAGATTTATGAGGGACTATTTCTTGTGGTGGAAGGATATTTAGAAGAAAATTCTTCAAATCTACACATTTGTCAAATTTATTATCTTGGAACTTAAACCCCTCATATTTTTACTTAGAGAATATTTTCCGTTATGATATGCTAGGAATATTAAATATAGGTCCCAATTTATATTTTTAGAACAGATTTTACACATTCACTGAACAGACTTTGCCAAGAAATGAAGATATATTAAAGAAGTCAAGATAAAATTTACACCGTTTTTTGCCTGAAAATCGCACATTTTGACCAATATCTCAAAATTTACATCACTGACCCCAACTTTTTCTTTCATTATTTTAAACAACACGATACTTCAAACCTGTCTGCACTTAAGTCATAAAAAGTTTGATACAAGTGAATATTTTATTGCCTCTTTAGATTTTTATACCCCAAATACGATACTTTTTTAGTGCAAAAAGGTCACACAATATTTGTGCACATTAATTTGCATGATTTGTTCAATCATAAATATTATTCAAAGTATTTTACGTAAAATAAGATGATATTTATTGCTATAATTACATCTGATTAAATATGATAAAGATTAAAGTAATTAACCAAAAAGTCACAGTTGAAGTGCAAAAAGGTCAACTTAATTGTACCGTAGCTCAGTAAGATGCACACTGACACCCCATTTTCTTTGCAATTTTGAGTCATGCTATATGAGTACTTATCTAAAATATACTTCTCAAAAAATCCTTGATATAACAAATTTCACGAGTGACATACCTTAAATGATAGAGCATATAGTATAGCACTATTATACTTTCATGTTAAATACTAAAATCTGATTGGTTTAGAAGCATTCAACAATCCGTAATTAATGTTACCCTCAGCGTTAGCAACACACTTGACAACGGGTAACATTACGAAAATAGACTATTTCACGATAACTGCGGTACTGCTCTTTTGCAGGGCAAAATGATATATTTTGGTGAAATATGACGTAAAAGTAGTTGTTTAATATACGTCATTTAATTATCTGTCATCAAAAACTTCGCCAAATATTGTTATTTTGCCCTGCAAAAGATTAGTACCGCAGGTATCGTGAAAGGGTTAATATCACATGCGTTCAAATCATGCGCGTACGGTTCACCGTAGAATTCTCAAAACGTCGGTTGTGCGTTTGAAAGAAGCCAAATAAACGACGTCAATTAAAGCTTGCGTCCGATGTAGCTTACTTGAAAACGACAGACGAAACATCCTTGCGAGTGCAAACTTTAGATGATAAAGGATTTTTTGAGTAGCAAACAAACAATAAAAGGTTGGTAAATCTTTTCCGAAGCTTTCTTATTGACAAAAATAAAAGCGGGGAGTTTGAAAGCTTTCTAAGCGTGAACTTAACGACTTTCTCCGAATTTTTTTTATGACATCCGAAATCAATAAGACATTCAGTATAATAAAATAAATAGTGCACGTTTTTGAGGGTAACAGTTGAAATTGACACCCCTCGGAAAACCATTGTCAACCTCCGCTGACGCGTCAGTTGACAATGGTTTTCCTTGGGGTGTCAATTTCAACTGTTACCCTCAAAAACGTGCACTATTTATATATTATATATAAAATAACGACTTTAGATGTTTCGAAGAAAAATACGACAGAAAGTATATCGATTTCTCCAAAGGGTGCATTATGTATATCAACATTTAATTGACAATTTCTGCTTGCAATCATATTTAACAAATCCTACTGACAAAAAATTCAGACAATTATTAACAAAATGTAGGTTATGAAATCATATACTGAATATTGAAACGGGCCGACACAGTAACATACATGTAACTAAGACTAATAGATTATGTATATGTTGTAATCTCCATGATATACATGTAGAAGACGAATTTCATTTTATTTTGAAATGCCCTTTCTATAAGGAACTAAGAGAGAAATTCTTGAAAAGAAGTACCATTATACTCAGCCTAGCGTCTTTGAATTAATGCAATTGCTGAACTACTAATAGTGTTGAAGAACTTTTAAATTTGGGGAAATTTTTGAATGCTGCCACATTGTTAAGAAATAACAATACTTATGTATAGCATTATTTTCATGCATGTATTTTTACGTTAACTCTCTCTCTCTCTCTCTCTCTCTCTGTATGATTTTTTTTTAAATAACGTGCCAATTACTCTGATGTCAGCCAGCTAGCTTAAAAGGAAATTAAAAAACTTGAAACTTGAATTCAATTCGGTTAAACGTAGGGGGTCATATATAGTCTTGTGTGAATACTTGCAAGTCAGTAAAATAGAAAGTGTTTTGTTCGTCGACGGAGATTGTACAGTCATATAGAAAACTTGAAACTCTATACATTTTCATTCTATTAATGATTATCGCCGTTTATCTCTGCATACAGGAAATTGCCGAACGAAATATTAGTATTATCGCCCACGATATCTGGTTCTTCAGATTCTCGGGTTTTCTTCATCCTAAATTAGATTAAAAAATTCGTTAATGCACTGTATATAAAAGGCATGATGTAAACACGTCGTTAAAAAATTCCGAAAGACCAAAGCATATCCTACCTTTTGCGTAAAACGAGAAAGCAGGCGATGAGCAACAAAGGAACAACCAGGAGAATAAATAGTGGAAACCAGTTTTCGGAACCCTTTGCGTTCATTAAATGACCAGTTCTAGTCTTGTTTGCCTTTTTGCTATTTTCTTCTTGAAACAGATCGTCGTCAAATAAAAATTGTGAACAGTTTTTCAAACTATTTTGCAGCCACATTGAACAATTTGTCCAAAAGACAAACTTGGAACCTGCCCCAACTATGTTCATTTTCTCTTTGTTGCTGAAAAATACAAAATTAATTAAACCAAAAGTCTGAAATCGATCATAATTCATTTTATTTCATTAAGGAGGAACAACTGGTTCTTAATCACAGTCCTTCAAAGTGGGTAACTTGGCACTGTCTCTCGTATATATTACTCAAAGCACTTTACAAACTTTCAAGTTTGCACTTTTCATTTAATACTATACTTACGGATTCGCTGAATCCAGAACTTTTGACTGGGTAATATTAATTCCCATACAAAGAAAGAAGTCTTGTTTAATTAGCTCTTTACCCGTTTTTGAACGAGGATAGGATATATTTACATCAAAGCCTGCAATAGAAAAAAAAAACATGAAAGGACATTAATGCTATTTAATGGTGTTTATACATTTGTATCTGCCACCTCTTTACAATAATTTGAATCTCTTATCAATCAAATTATAATTATATTATTCCAAAAATACATATTTGCATGTCTCTTGCTCTGAAAAATGAACGCAAAACTATGAACACTAATATGATTTAATACACACACAGGTACACATACTTATGTTCGTCAAATCAAACCTTTTTGCATTGCACAAATTTTGGGAACACTGGTATTACAAAGATTCTCCATTTGACAAGTACATGTCCAATTCCCTTGAGTGTCAACCTTACAATCGCCGTAAGTAGTGCAATCGTTTTTGCAGGCCAAACTATAATCCTTTAACTCAGAACATACTTCTCCTCTCCAAGGTTCTAAACAAAGACAACGTTCTCCATCTCCATCTACGATACAAGTGCCGTTATTTTGACAGACCATATGGGAACACTCCCGAATAGGTGGAAAACAATCTTTCACCGTTGACTTTTCCAAGCACCGACACCGGTAACTCCCTTCTGTGTTGACACATTCTGCAGTGTTTGCACATGGCCGCTTTTCGCACTCATTCACGTCTTCTGCACAGTCGTTTCCACTCCATCCATGCAAACATTTGCAAAAATAACTTCCGTCTGTGTTGATGCATTTAGAGTTTCCATGACAAGGGTTATCTAAGCATTCATCGATGTCCCTCAAGCATGCTATACCTTGCCAACCTGTTTTGCAACGACACTGGAATTTATTCATAACTTCTGCGCAGGTTCCGTTGTTGAAGCATGTGACGTCATCACAACTTGCAAGTCTAGTCTCACATCTTTCGCCGGTCCATTCTGAGGGACAGTCGCAAGCATTTGTATTGTTAACAAGATAACAAACTCCACCGTTTTTGCAGACGTTTTCTTGGCAAAGTTGAATGTCACAAAGTTTTCCTGGAATTTAATAAAATTTAATTCCCTTCAACCTTTAGAGTACTTCAAGTTTACATAAAAAATGGATATCATAATTAAAGTGTTAAATTACGCTACTAAATCAAAATCGTGCAAAAATAGAATTGGAAAGTATAACTCGATCGAAATAACATTTAACCTACTGTTGTATTAGTTGCAGATCTGTAGCTGGTCTGAAAAAATTGGTCGTCCATCCCATTTTTTTCAGACCAGCGAGGTACAGATCTGTAGCTATTGTTGTATATGCTGTATCTTGAATGATTTATTTTAAGCAGTATTTATATCGTATCGGATGGATGATACACGAGTTTGCAAAACTGCTTGGACTGTTAATTCCATAACTCTGAATTATGAATTTGAAAAGAAATACACGTTAGTGAAATTGTGTACCTGAAAACCCATGCTGACATTCACAGAAGAAGGAATTTTGTCGATTATCCGTCAGACACGTGCCATTATTTTGGCATGGCACGTCTACACAATCATCAACAAGGGTGCACTTAGATCCTCTCCAGCCTACAAAATAAAAATGAAATATATTCTCTATTCAAATTCATCAAGCAATGCAGATAACTGAGGATGGTCATAAACATTCTTCTCCATGTGCAGATGTCTTTTTGTCTCTCAGCTCTCGGGATTTAAATTCATATATATATATATATATATATATATATATGCATACTTTTCAGTTCGGTATAAATGGTAGATATAAATGTATAGACTTAGTTCCCTTCTAATTTCGTCCGAAATATAAAACTTCCGGATTATTGGCGTTCTGTTAACCATGGTTTAACTGTATATATTTGTATTATTTTAAAGGGAGGAACATGCAAATTGTTTATTTGAATTTTCATTCATTTCTTGGTTATGTTAAAAGGTTACAAACTTACAATCACACATTTTCAAATATATTTTTATTAATTACAACAATCAATACTACTAATCAATGATTGTACTTTACCCTTTATACAGATTTTCTGGCCTTCACTGTTACAGATGTAGTGCCCGGTATAGTCATTTCTAGGTCGACAGTAAACGTCACATGATTTACCAAAATAGTAATCGTCACAAAACACCGCAAGGTCCACCACCAATCTATGAATCATTCATATAGGCATTTAGTTATACAGGACATGTAATAACAACAAGTGCAAAGTAGGACCCTCACAATACGAGGACTGTTCAATAAATTATGTCCTGAACTCAATAACGTACAGCATAGAAAATATTTTACATTAACCTTCAGTTGGCTTTCTCACATGATAGAATCTTTAATAAATTGATAACCGTTTATGTAACCACGTTTCATCATATAGTTTCATTGTGAGAAGCTGGAAAACAAGGGCTATTCGAGACACTGCATTAAAAATGAATGGTAAAGAATCAGTAAACAAGAGTGAAGTTAGAAGCTTCATGTAAAGCTCCTGTAAAATTAAGAATGCAAAAGAAATATTTTACTGAAATATGTGATGTTAACAGCAACCAATGTTTGTTTTATAGACACTTGAGCAGGTGGATTTCAATGATCAAAAATGAAAAAATGGGCATACAAAATGGGTACCGTCCTTGGCGACAAGGACTTACAAAACAAATGTAATATTTGCCAAAATTCAACAAATTGATGATGTTTAAATTGACTTTAAGACGCATAGCAAATTTGGTAGGCATAATTTTTGGGGGTAGTTCACACTGTTTTAAAGAAACATTTGACAGTAAAAAAGCTTTGTACTCATTGGTCACCCTATGTTTTGACAAATGAGTGAAAATGACAGCGTGTCACAATATCCAAATAATTATTTTTAAAAATCAGAAATTGTAGTTATCCACGTTTGTCTGAAATTCTAACAGATAATGAAACCGGAATCCATTGTTTTGAACCCCAAAGGAAAATTTACAACAAGATGCACATGACCAAAACAGCAAGGGTCTGAGAAGAGCAAAGAATTGGAAGAGCACAATGAAAGTTTTATATGCCATTTTCTTCAATAGTAGTGTCTTGGTGTTCAGATTCTTATTTGGGGAGGCCGTTTAATTTCTGGACGAGTCTAGAAAGCAAAATTTTTGCAAAAAAATCAAAAGGTTTATAAAAGAAGGAACCAGAATCAGGAATCTACTACTGTAACAGTAATTTTCTTCATGACAGCGTCCAAACCCACACGTCCTGAACAGTAAAGGAGTTTTGGGGATAAACAGAAAGTTAATGTTTTGTCACACCAACAATATTCGCCAGATCTTTCACCGTACGACTTGTTTCATTTTCCAAACCTGAAAAAACACCTTTGGGAAAGAAGAAACAAGTCCAGGAAATCATAGGATCTGTCATATTCCAGTATACGAAGGGCATACTCAAAAATGTGTTCTAAAAACAATTAGAAATTGGATAAATATGTTACAGACATGTGTTTCAATTAAAGGAGCATATTTAAGGGAAATAATTAATACAAAATCAATGAAAAGCGTTTTTTGTTTCTTTCCGGGCACCGAGGACACAATTTATTGAACAGCCCTCGTATGTTTTTTAATAGTGATAATGCGTTCACATTGCCTTCCAGTTTATAAATATCAATTGCATGATAATTTTGTGTGCTTTCAGTAATATTTAGAGTACCTTTGCGCTATAGTGTACATGTATCTTTCATTACTATATAGATATATTTGACTGGGACGATTTCTGATACGTTCATTAAAGGAACTAGGTTTACATATATAGTTACATGGGTATACACATGATACAGGTCACAGGCAAAAGACGTATGTAATTGGATTAGCCATTGCTACTCAACATGTTTTGGTATATACATATATTAATCTTGTAAGAGTTTCTGCAAATAAACACATTTTATTACGATAAAGCTGATACAATTTTGTGAATACCTGGTTCTGCGATGGAGCATGAAGCGCAAGCGAGTGTGGTTTCGCCTGTGGCCGCTCGGTTTTAGAACAAACTTTCTGTACAGAAATGCCACGTGATCATCAGCAGTACGTGAATCGTCATCCCAAATATCAACTTTCAATTTGAATTTTCCAGAAGCCTTAAAAGAACATTATTATTGGTTCATCAAAGAAGAAGGTACAGTTTTGACTTTATTATGCCCTAAAAATTTAATGTCTTCAAAAAGTTTTGAAACTGGCTTAAATCTTAATAGAATATACGAATGTGATAAATCAGGAAAGAATATGGCACGAAGGAGTACCATTCTGGAAATATGACGTCATTAATTTGATGCATTTCTCTGTTTTAAACAGAAAAAGCCTCAAAATGACCCATTTCAAGGGTTATTTTCCTTAAGAAAATAATGTCCACCAGGCCCGTGGGAAGCAATTTCACTTTGAGGGGGCACAACCATACATTTTCAGTTGAGGGGGCACTATCAACTACCAAAATTCCCTGACAAGCAAAAAAAAAAAAAAAAAAAAAAAAAAAGGTCATCAGACGCTATTATTGATTATTGAGGGGGCACAAGCATATAGCAGCTGTGTTTTCTATAGTATTCTGTATATCGGCAAAATTATTGGGGGGCACGGCCCCCCCCGTGCCCCCCCCCCCTCCGGTTCCTACGGCCATGTCCACAGCCATCGCCCACTATAATTTTCGGATATGTTGTGTAAAATTCTTCGAAAAATCACATATGTCAAAATCTTTGTGGGCAATGCTTGTGGACAATAGTATCTGAAAGAAATTTCCATGAAAATTGGTGTCTTCTGCAACTTTTTAAGAAAATACGGGGAAATGCACATGTTTATAACATCACAATTAGAATTTAGAAGGTCATGTGAGAAAAATGATTTGCAAGATCTTTCTGCATGGAATTTCAATGATTCAGAAAGCATGAGTTTTAATTTTTTACATCACTTTTATTTTTAAGAAAAATGTATTGAAACCGTACCTTGTTCTTTGAAAATAGTTTAATTTTCACAATTTAAGTCAGAGAAGAAATGGACTGATACACAACTACATATACTACATCACAGATGTTTGTGGACCCCCCCCCCCCCCGAATATACACCACGGGTTTAATTTATTTCTATTTGTCTTCTTTCATAAATTATTCTTCCAGCACACATTTACAATGTATTCCATATAAACATTCCAAAAAAATATCGTAGAGTAATCGTTTTATTTCTTAAAAAAAAAATCATACCACAGCCAATAGGAAGCAATATTCCGGTCTGGGGAACAGAACCAAACATTTTAAATTTGGGTGGATACTATCAAGCAAAAAATCCTCGACAAGCAAAATAAAAAAAAATGTCATCGCACGCAACTATTAAGGGGGTACATCAGCATTGTACCTGGTATCTTAATTTCTACAGTATACACCATATATCGGCAAAATTATTGGTGGTGGTGGGGGGGGGGGTCGTCCCCAACCGGTTCCTACGGCCATAATACACGTACACTGAAAATATAATTTAGTAACTAAGGCACTACACAAAAACAAGAGTCACGATCGGTTAAACTTTTCAGTGTGAATTTTCCGAGTTTGAGGTGCGAGTTTGAAGAGGTGCAAGTACAGTCTGGTTACAATATTCTTGTCTCTATTGTACGAAAGAGTGTGCATATCAGACGGGCGCAGGGCCAGTGTATAGTGTATCAGTATAGATCTGTTACATCTATGTCACTTTATACTCATGTAAACTATACATGTTATATATCAGATATATACATGTAGTTTACATGAGTATAAAGATATATACTAATGCAACTTGAATTTACACAACATGTCGTCACGCTACAGCACGTATTTATTGTGCTGGCCCGAAGGTGTGTTGTGTACAATATATTTGCGCGCAACGGCTCGTTGTGTAAAATTGTTGGCGCTATGTAGGGCATGTTGTGCGTTAGCGCGACAGTGTGTAACAATTAAAAAAAGACAAGATGTGTTTGTGAAACACTGCTTCCCCCGTATAGCAACTTAAGGCGAAGGTTAAAGTTTCTCAAATGCAAGTCAAACTCCAAGGTCAATATAAAAGCCCAAGCACCAACCATTCAAAAGTTATCGTCAAGGTTAATGTTTTCTAAAAGTGGGTAAAAATCCAAGGTCAAAGGGTCAAAATTAATGGAACGCAGGGGAAGACCTTGTCTGAAGAAATACACATACAAGATATAAAAGCCCTAGCAACAACTGTTCAAAAGTTAAAGTTTTTCAAAAGTAGGTCAAACTTGTTAGCATCCAAAGGAAGGTCTTGTCACAAGAAATATACCTGTGACTTTTGAAGGCCATAGTACTAACGGTTCAAAAGTAATTACCTGCAAAGTTAAATTTTTTTAAAAAGTGGGTCAGACTCTAATGTCAAGGTCAAAAATATTTATACGCATGGAAAGGTCTTGTCACGATGAATATACATGTGAAATAAGAAAGCCCTAGCACAAACTGTTCGAAAGTTATGGCCAAGGTTAAAGTTGGGTAAATTTTTGCAAAAGTGGGTCAAACTCCAAGGTCAAGAGGTCAAATATGTTGGTACCCAAAGGAAGGTCACAAGAAATATACATGTGAAATATGAAAGCCATAGCGCCAAGCAGTCAAAAGTTATGGGCAATTTTACAGCGCTGTAAAGTTTTTGCGGACAATCAGACAGAAAGACGGACGGACAGGACAAAAACTATATACCCCCGAATCTTCGATTACAGGGGCATACAAATAATAGTCCTCTTGCAGCAGACATACTCACTAAAGTAGGTAGGTGTATAGTCGATAGTCTGTAAACCTAGCTTAGCTACATGTAGCATGTAGCCATAATTTAATATAGCAATTCTGTTTCTAAGAGAGAGAGCTTGCGCAAATATAGGGAATTTTATAAGAAAAAAACAAAACAAAAAACAAAAAACACACAACAAACAAACAAACAAAAAAACGAAGATACAAACAGCAACTTACAGGCCACGATGTTACGTTGAACAGGAATGGGTTTTCCATTCCATGGATGTTGTCGGGGAACGAGATTGTATCGGCATTTAATATAACTGGTGTTTCAATGCGACCAAAGGGACACTTGTTCATCGAATTCGCACTGAAAATAAATTTCAAATTTGAAATATATATGATCTATTTTTCGTCTACAGATTCAAGAAACAATTTTAAAAAGAAATATATATTAAATAAATAAATAAATTAATTAATAAATTAATTAATTAAATAATAAAAAAAAAAATAGTTAAACCTTTTAATATTTATGCTCTGACTATACCGATCAAGAGTTTTTTTTATCGTATTTTTTTTTTTGAAATCAATATTTTACCCTGTGTGTTTGTCAACACAAATAATGAAGCGATGATCGCATTTGCTGAAGGTGATGCCAAACCTCCCGTCGCACTTCCGGTTGTTACTTCCTTTTCCGCCGGGGTTGACAAATTCCACCAGCTTTACCGACAAATGACCTCCACCCAAAACTAAACTCTGCATAAAAATATGGCATAATTAATTATCCGTTCTCAGATGATAAGGTACATATACAGTATAATGGAATGAATACGTAAAATATGAAAATCTTTCTTAAATCTTTTGAATACCTACACTAAACAGTTATAGATTTTTTTTACCTTTTAAAAGTTGTCTGATATAAAAATAAATAACCATTATGAAAAGTAAGACGTTAAATGCCCACACTGGTAAATAGATAAATGATAGTGATAAAGTGTAACCATGAATTTCATAGAAATACATGATGAAAATCGTGCTCACACTTTTCAGAGGAATGAATGAAATTAGATTTATATTTGCATTCACTTAAAAAACTCAGGAAAAAAACATGACTGGGAATGCAGAGTTTGACAAAAGACAGGCCCATGGGAAGCAATTTCAATTGGGAGGGGGGGGGGGCAACCAAACATTTTCAGTGGGGGGGGGGGGGGCTACCAAAAATTCAAAATTTCCTTGACAAGCAAAAAAAGGTCATCAGATGTTATAATTCAGGTAGCAAAAGCATGTAGTAGCTATGTTTTCTACAGTATTCGGCACATATCGGCCCCGGGTCCTGCGACCATGCATAAAAGAACGTGGTGTGACAGTTTGTATGGTGTATGCAAGTTTTTCCTTTGGAGATGTGTGTTTAAAATTAAAACAATTTGTTTCTACGGTTGAAAAGTACTTTGAATAGATTTAGGAATTTAATAATATCTTCTTTGGGTAAATATGACATTTAATGAGACACCATAAGACTTATTTCTGACCACCATCGGTAACCGCCAACCTTATAGCAGTCAAAATTCTCAGTTTTTGCCATTCCCCTATGAAATATGCATTTTTAAAAATCACTTTACAGGACACTACTTTAGAAATTTTGAAGAAAAATAAAATTTACGTGGTAAATTAAACTTATTTATTTTAAAAGTTTAAACATAGATCTTGTATTTATTTTCATAATTTTTTGAAAATTTGTTTGAAGCAGATGGTCTTATGGTAATCAATGTATAACAAAAGTATATTGAACAATTCTGAATCATTTTGTAACAGGAAAGGAGAAAAATGCGACGGATCAGACCAGGATTCAAACTCTGACCCCTGAATCATGCACTAGTAAAGTGCTCTACCAACTGAGCTATCTGGCCACCGGCGATTGAACATGCCTGAACACCACTATTTTAATCTAGTTAAATAGTATTGCTAAACATGCAGAAGAAGCTGAAATTAATCAAATTCATATGACTCGTAACTTATTAGAATTAAGACCGTCATTTCGCATTTTCTCAGAATGATTCATTTCATATTTTAAAAAAGAGAGAGTTTATGCTGGCAGTTATTTGCCAAGGGATTTTTATGAAATTCAAATTACATTTTACAATTAATTTATTTAAAAAAAAAATACTCCTAGAAAAAAAAGGAAAATCGTGAAATATGAAATGTTTATATTAATTCATCATTTAGCATTTTCTTTAACTCAGCATGCAATCCAATTAATTAGCTTTTTTATTCAAATTATTACTTACAAAGTTTAAGATGATTATCAAATACAATCCCAAAATAAAATGCATTTTACAACAGCGTAGATTAATAATAACCCAATTTCAATGAACAAATTCACCCAACAACAGTCCTGAAATGACAGTGCAACATGCTACATGTTGTGTAGTATGCACATGCAGAGAATCAACCTTCACAATATGTATATAAATACGTATTTTCAAGCTCGCATTTGGATTATATAATTTCAGAAAAATGATTCATGTACAACAAACTAAGAGGTCAAAGTGTTCAGCTAGAAATCGAATAGCGAAAATGTGTCATTTTAAAACAGATCTTTTTCTTAACACTAAACCTATAATTATGTTTTAAAAATCAAAAAACGTATAAATATAAAAACCGTGTGAGAGTGCCCGACAAATGCAGGCTGTGATCAGAGGACGTGTCTTACCCTGACCCAAGGTCATTTGGAAAACTTCAGAGATCGGAAATGATGTCAAATTATAGTTTGCCTTTAACTTTGAAATTTTAGAGCTCATACTTAACACAAATGTAGGTATGTTTTAGGGGATGAATTATGACCTCGACCCGATGTCATTTGTACAAACTTTTGGAGTATTCGATCAGTAGTTGAATTTTTGTGAGTCGTCCATAAAGAAGCATCGAGGACAAATGATACAAAAAAATGGATGCCTGGATTGCTCTATATTTTTTGACCTATTTTGTTTGTAAATGATACAAATATTAATTTTCTAAAAATTCTAAATCTAAAGCTGTGCAAACTGTAGCTCTCAAGTTGAGAAAATCGGACAGAAAAACCAGAGAGCTACAGATCCAAGCATTGTAAAAACCTTTAATTTACAGCGACGTTTTTTTTTTTTTTGGTTTTTTTTTTTTGGTCGCGCGCTAGGGGTATTATTTCTTGTATTTATATGCGTCCCCCCCCCCCCCCGCCAAAAGCATGGTATCTAGCTGTTAATTAACCATATAATTTACTCATAATCTTGATGCTTTATTTAACTTTCAACGATCCCTGACAGCATGACCCTAACATGGATGTCGGAATCTGACATTCCAAGGTCACATAGGGTTGTTTAGGATAGACCAGATTTTGAGATTTTACACAGTCAAAGTTCAAACTACTCTTGCCATAAAAAGATATTGTCCGTTCAAATATTTTAATAACTCTTTGCTTTACATCAAAGAACGACTGGGCACTTTTAGGTTGGCATTCGGCAGAAATTTGGGTGCACTTGAAAAAGTGAAGATTTCATTGATCTGTCACATGAAATTTTAGCATTCTTTTGATGTATCGGGTTCCTGTAAAATAGGAGAAGGAAATATTTTCCTGATACTGTGTTTTGATTTGCTAAAAAAGAACTTGAAAATTGGCTAGACGAGTCATTTTATACAAAATGTTACATTTTTAAACATGTTTTTCAAAAAATTTGCCATCTCTGGGTCATCTTTCCATGATTTTGAAACGTCTTTTTTGTGCATTTTAATTCAAAGAAATAAACAAACATTTAAAAAATATGGAGAGAAGACCCAGAGACCACAAAAATGGACTTTTTCGAAAAATATCCCATTGTGTACATGCGGACGCTTCATTTTCGTTTTGAAATCCGTATCGTGTGTGTAGCGATGATAGCTCAGTAGTATGTGTTACCCGTCCAGTGCAATGGAATCGAACATTTTTTTTTTTTTTGGTTCGATCCTCACATGGAGCGTTAATATTTTTTTTTAATGCAAACGATCAATTCTTTTATTTTTTTTTAATTTTATATACTGTTTCATTTTAAATTGTATAAATTCTGATTCTTAAAATTGCATCGATAGGGAAACCAATTGTTCCAACCTGCAAATGTACTTGTAATTGTATTTAACTATATAGTACCCTAGCTTATTATCTTATAGGTGTTTATTATTTATGTGAAGCATTACTATGTTACAGTAAAGCGACTTAAATATAACAATTTGACAAGGTATTTCAAATTAAGTATAACATTTTCCTTTGTGCATAACTTTGGAAAGTCTGTCCACGATTTGGTCAGCCGACCAAATCGTGGACATTTAAACTATAAATGTTTCGTCCAGATGATTCCTGCAGATCACACACTAAATACGCCCATCTTCTTTGGTATACTGGTTCCCCTTAAGGAGTTGATAACCCCTGTTGATTTGAGGTCACAAGGTCAAAGGTCAATATACATTTATTGACTGGGTCCGAGGGCAACATGCGTTTTGTCGTACCAAAGAACCAAACTGTTTGCCTGAGGCCGTTAAAGCATTGTGCCCGAGAATACAGTCACTAAATGCTAAGTTGTACCTTTTTAGCTCACCTGAGCTTTTCTGATCACATTTTGTCCGTAGTCCGTCTGTAAACTTCACATATTCGACTTCTTCTCCAGAACCACTGGGCGAATTTCAACCAAACTTGCCACAAAGCATCCTTGGGTGAAGGGGGTTTAAGTTTATTCAAATGAAGGGCCACGCCCTCTTCCAAGGGGAGATAATTAAGAATTGGTAAAAATTTGGTGTCATCTTTTAAAAATCTTCTTCTCAATTAAGAACCATTGGGCCAGAAAAATTGAAACTTATGTGATACCTTCATTACATAGTGTAGATTCATGTTTGTTCAATTCATGACCCCCGGGGGTAGGGTGGGGCCACGATGGGGGATCAAAGTTTTACATAGGAATATATAGGAATTTTTTTTTTTTAAAAATCTTCTTCTCAAGAACAACAAAGCCACAATTAGTCATATTGATATGGAATCATCCTCAGGTAGTGTAGATTCAGGTTTGTTGAAATCATGACCCCCGGGGATAGGGTGGGGCCTCAATGAGAATCAAATTTTACATAGGAATATATAGGAAAAATATTTAAAAAAATTTTCAAGAACAGGAAAGCCATGATTAGTCATATTGATATTGAAGCATCCCCAAGTATTGTAGATTCAAGTTTGTTCAAGGCATCCTCCAGTAGTAGGGTGAAATGATCAAAGTTTAACAAAAGAATATATATCGGAAATATCTTTAAAAATCTTCTTCTCAAGAACAACAAAGCCATGATTAGTCATATTGATATGGAAACATCCTCAGGTAGTGTAGATTCAAGTTTGTTCAAATCGTGACCCCCCCCCCCCCCCCCAGGGTAGGGTGGCAGACATCTTTAAAGTTCCGTTTTCAAGAACAGCAAAACCATGATTAGTTATATGAATATAGAAGCATCCTAAGAAAGTTTAGATTCATTTTCATTCAAAACATGGGACCTAGGGGTAGGGTATGCCTAGAACAGGGGATCAAAGCTTTACATATGAATATATGGGAGAAGAAATCTGCTGACGAAGAACAGCAGGACCATATTGACTCATGTGAGCATTGTGACCCATGTGCCTCTTCTTTACTTTTTGTATTGACATATCTTGCGCTGGCACCCATGATTTAGACAAACTGATAGTGCCTACAGTGTGACGTAAAAAAACGTCATAACGGTCCAATAACTCATCGACAGGACCAAGATCTCGCTTAGCGTCTAACATAGATTTTTTTGTTTTGTTTTGTTTTTAGCTCATCTGAGCTGAAAGCTCAAGTGAGCTTTTCTGATCACATTTTGTCTGTAGTCCGGATGTCTAGCTGTCCGTCCGTCTTTAAGCTTTTCACATTTTCGACTTCTTCTCCAGAACCACTGGGCGAATTTCAACTAAGCTTGCCACAAAGCATCCTTGGGTGAAGGGGGTTCAAGTTTGTTCAAATGAAGGGCAACGCCTTCTTCCAAGCGGAGATAATTAAGAATTGGTGAAAATTTGGTGTCTTCTTTCAAAAATCTTCCTCTCAAGAACCATATTGGGCCAGAAAAGTTGAAACTTATGGGAAACCATTATTACATAGTGTAGATTCAAGTTTGTTCAAATCATGACCGCCGGGGGTAGGGTGGGGCCACAATGGGGGATCAAAGTTTTACATAGGAGTATATAGGAAAAATCTTTAAAACTCTTCTCAAGAACAGCAAAGCCATGATTGGTCATATTAATATGGAAGCATCCTCAGGTAGTGTAGATTCAAATTTGTTCAAATCATGACCCCCAGGGGTAGGGTGGGATCACAATGGGGGATCAAAGTTTTACATAGGAATATATAGGAAATTTTTTAAAAAATCTTCTCAAGAACAACAAAGCCATGTTTAGTCATATTGTTACGGTGTAAAATACGACTTTTCGGACTTATTATAAATTACTGTGTAAATTAACTTTTCGGACTATGTGTAAATTGTTATAAAGACTTTTCGTATATTTCGGCAAATGTGATAAATTCTATAAATTCCGCACAGCTTTAATCCTACCTGAGGCAGTCTGACATGGACAGTTAATCTCCTAATTGACTTCTGTTTATATTTATTGTCACTTATTCTTTCATCTTCTTTAATTCTATTATATACATGCCGCTAAAATGTCACCAGTCGCTCAATAATTGTTTGATACTTGATTTCTTTATACTTTCTTGTTAATCCCTTTATTTTGTCATATCTTTGTTCAGTATGTATGTTTTGTTGTTAAAAATTATAGGCAGTTGGAATCAGACCTTCGGTGCTGATACATCCCAAACTCATGTAAAAGTTTACTCCATGCTGATTCTATATAAAAGTACTAAACCTATAACGCGTGTTGGCTTATTGGAGGTTTTATGAATCTGGGTTCAACAATAAGAGGAAAACTCACGGTTGGCCCAGAATTAGAATTTGACGGACAATACATACCGTAAAACTTGGTGGAGAATCCGGGTAACCAAAGTTGTTTTATTGCTTTATCATTTTCAGTCTTACCTTTTGTCCGTGGCTCATAAAGGTGATAGAGAACTCTATTGTCTAATACAAAATAGTTTTCCATATATAGGACCGACTTTGATAGCTTTTCGTCATCGGGTAACTCCTGGGTTTCCAAGTATTTGATAAGATGTTGCATTTTTGACTCACCTTCTCGTTGAAGTTGACCAATATCATCTATGTCGGGTAAATTTGAACTTTGTTCTGTCTCTATCATGTTTACAGATGGGGTGTCGTTGTATGTAAACACGGCTCGGTAAGTGTCGTTGAATGTTGGCTCTTTTCTTTCGGCAATACTTACAATTGGTTCCGGTTCCTTATTCACGGCGTTGTCCTCAGTATCTTGATATGGTCGTCTGGACATAGCGTCGGCATTTCCATTAGTTTCTCCAGGGCGATATAATACTTCGAAATCGTACTCCTGTAATCTCAATGCCCAACGTCCAAGTCGGCCCGTGAGATCTTTCTGATTTTGTAGCCATTTGAGAGCTCTGTGATCTGTGATGACTTTGAAATGGTTATTCGTTAGATAGACGCGGAAGTGTCTGATACCTTCTATGACAGCTAAGCATTCTCGGTCTGTTATTCCCCATTTCCGTTCGGCTTTGTTTAGCGATCGACCACCATAAGCTACTGGGTGTTCCTTTCCATTTTGTATTTGTCCAAGGATAAATCCTAAAGCTGATGATGAAGCATCACAGGTCAAGATGAACGGTTCTGACATGTTTGGGTACGCTAGGACTGGTGCTGTGGATAGCGCAGTCTTTAGAGTGTCAAATGCCTTTTGGCAATCTGTTGTCCACTCAAAGGGAACGTTTTTCTGTAGAAGTTGATTAAGTGGGGTCGCAATAATCGAGTAAGAATGAACAAACTTACGGTAATAGTTACAGAGTCCCATAAAACTTCTTATTTCGTTCTGATTTTTGGGAACGGGGTAATTCTGCACCAATGAAACTTTAGAAGGGTCTACCATGATACCGTCTTTGGAAAATCTGTGTCCGAGGTATGATACTTGTTCAACGGCAAATTGGCACTTGGATGGTTTGAGTGTAAGTCCAGCGTCCATCAATCTGTGAAAAACCTGTTTTAGGTGATGCAAATGAGCTTCAAAGTTCTTACTGTAAATCAGAATGTCGTCCACATACACTAGTGCTTGTTTCCAGTGAAGACCTCTCAGAACTTGCGTCATGACCATTTGGAACGTAATAGGGGCGTTGCGAAGTCCAAAGGGCATGCGTGTCCACTCGTATATTCCTGTGTGGGTGATGAAAGCAGCTTTATGTTTTGAGGACGGGTCCATCGGAATTTGCCAAAATCCACTGGCGAGATCAAGTACAGAGAAAATTTTGGCATATGCAGAGGAAATTGAACGAGATCGGAAAGGAACATAATCAGTATGTAATGCAAATTCAGGCAGAAGCTGTGAAAACAACCAAACAGTTAAGGGAAGAAAACAAAGCCCTGCTACAGACCATCCGAATATTGGAAAATGAAAAGGATCATTTGCTCGCCTTGTTTGTGGAAAATAAACAACGATATCAACCACGTAGACATCAGGGAAGACCAAGAAGAGGCCAGTTTTATTGAGAAAAAAAAATCAAAACTCGAGGACGTGTTTTACGCGAAGGCGGAGCATGTGTTACGGTGTAAAATACGACTTTTCGGACTAATTATAAATTACTGTGTAAATTAACTTTTCGGACTATGTGTAAATTGTTATAAAGACTTTTCGTATATTTCGGCAAATGTGATAAATTCTATAAATTCCGCACAGCTTTAATCCTACCTGAGGCAGTCTGACATGGACAGTTAATCTCCTAATTGACTTCTGTTTATATTTATTGTCACTTATTCTTTCATCTTCTTTAATTCTATTATATACATGCCGCTAAAATGTCACCAGTCGCTCAATAATTGTTTGATACTTGATTTCTTTATACTTCCTTGTTAATCCCTTTATTTTGTCATATCTTTGTTCAGTATGTATGTTTTGTTGTTAAAAATTATAGGCAGTTGGAATCAGACCTTCGGTGCTGATACATCCCAAACTCATGTAAAAGTTTACTCCATGCTGATTCTATATAAAAGTACTAAAACTATAACGCGTGTTGGCTTATTGGAGGTTTTATGAATCTGGGTTCAACAATAAGAGGAAAACTCACGGTTGGCCCAGAATTAGAATTTGACGGACAATACATACCGTAAAAATATTGATACGGAGGCATCCTCGGTTAGTGTAGATTAAAGTTTGTTCAAATGATTACCCCTGGGGATAGGGTGGGGCCACAATGGGGTATCAAATTTTTACAAAGGATTATATAGGAAAAAAATCTTTTAAAGTCTTCTGCTCAAGAACAGCAAAGCCATTTGTTATATTGATATGGAAGCATCCTCAGGTTGTTTAAAATTCACCCCCCCCCCCCGTAAACTTTTCAATACTGAATTGATTTGTGCTTTTTCCTAGCCATTGTGCTCAGGTGAGCGATGTGGCCCATGGGCCTCTTGTTTTTTGTTTTTTTTTGTGTGTGTGTTTTTTTTTTGTTTTTGTTTTTGACTGCTCAGAGTTAGACGTATAGTATAGATTTATAAAGGAAACAATTTTTGAAGGTATAACAATAAGACGATAATGACCGCTCAGAAGCTTGAAAATTACTTTTTGCTTGAAAGACGATTCACCCTATGGAGCGGATGGCCGATGTTAATTTTGCGGTCACGGGGCTCCAGGGTAAAAATCAAGAGTCAAACAACACAGACACTATATAGCCATAGGAATATGTTGCGAGTTCAGTATCTTAAAAACCCCAATTTACTATTCTACTAGTACATGTATATCAGTAATACAATTATTGCTTTTTTTTATGTCAATACAATGATTTAGCCACCTGAGAAGTAAAATATTCACCGAGCCCGAAGGGCGAGGTGAATATTGTACTTCGAATGTGGCTAAATCATTGTATACGTATTGTCCTAAAAAAAACAATAATTGTTTTATCATATGATCCAATGATTAAATGATACAAACTCATTAAGTGGTTCATGCCATCTTACTTGTTTGCATTTGCTAAAGTACTATAGCCAAATGCAACGAGAGAAGCGGGGTTAGACATACATTACCAGTCGTATTAATTTTGTTTTTTTTAAATCTACTTCAGTTGCTATGAGAAAAAATATAAATGCCGGGCTCTTTTATAGGATCGATTTTGAAAAAAAAGGGGGGGGGGTACGTATTATTGGGGTAAAATGAAAGCTGAAAAATAATCTTTGATTAGCCCCCACGAAAAGAGAATCGTTTTAATTTCATATTTTGTTTTGGGATTGGGGTGGGGTTAGGGTGGGGGATTAAGGTTCATTTATGGGGACCAGCCTTTCAATGAATGATTTTAGTCTGAAATAAAATTTAAAATTTACGTTAAAAAAATTGGGGTTTGGGGGGGGGGGGTGTCTCCTTTTATATTAAGTCTGTAGCAAGTAAAATAGCTTTCCAAAACGATTTTGTATTAATTTGGAATTTCCCAATCTATTTTAAGACCAATGTAGAGAAAATAAATATTTATACATTTTATACATGTATACTTAGTATTCACCTGCATGGAAGTACTGAAAATGTTAGAATATATATACATGTACATACATGTAGAATATGTATCTTAATTAATTTCAAACCTTTAAATTCTCATCAGAACTCAGGTTTAAAATGTAATTTTAAAAAGTTGTTGCATAAGTATATTTATCAATCTAGATTTTATTCTAAAGTGTTAATGAATTTTAGAGACAACAAACAACAATTAATGCACGCGTGCTTGCAAGGCTTTTTCCGAATGTGACGTCATGTCATATTTTATCTCGAGATGGCGCTTCGGTTCTTTCAATCATTTCGGACTTTTCTAGCTTTTAGGTTGTCAGTATCCAAAGAAAAACATAAACACATTTCCGAACGTACTTCATGTGACGAACAAAAACAAAAAAAAAGATGGCAGAAGCTGTTCGAGAAAGAAGCAGCAAATCCAAAATAAAAGTATGTATATCTTGTATAGGAAATGCCATAGGAAGTACTATAAAAGGTTTTATTGCTTGAACGTTCACATTTGTTATATCCGTGAACTGAGGCTACGGAATTAATGAATGAATATTATTGTACAAGAACAGCTGATGCAAAGGTGACTTTTTTTTTTATTAGTTTGTTGCACATGATTACTGAATGACAAGAGTATGTTGTTAAGGTCATTTCAGTTTATGTTTTCGGTGACACTTACATGCCTCGCAATATTTTGAATTAGACTCATTTACTGTGTGTACACTACAGTATTATACAGGTCTGGTATAATCACTAGATTTAGCTACGTAGCTTTATTTACCTACCTGAAGTAGCTTTATTTAGCTACTAAATCAAACTTATTTCTTAAATTAGCATTTTCCCCAGAAAGTGCAGAAAATTGCACTTTGATGCAGTGATAATTTTCAACTTTAAACTCATCTGAAAACAATTCATGAAAAAATCACTCTTGGAGATGTGTCTTTTTCTGTGCAATTGCAATCAAAGTTCTAAAAGTTTTTGGGCTATATACAACAGTTAATTTGCGACCTAACAGTTACTTCTTGAGTGAAATAACAAAGAAAACCAGTTTTGGTTAACATGAGCACAATGTGAAGTAATCATACTTATCCATGCCTCATTGCACACAAGGTGGTGTACAGTTACTCAAACAATGGAAATACATGTATATTTTTCTCAAAAGTGTTCAAACGCAGCAATGTTAAAACTATCTCTGCTTTAGATTGCTTTTTAGATAATACCTAGAATAAATATTAGTAGACATTTACTTACGACTTTTTTGTCTTTTTAAAGTAAAAAAGCAAAATAATTATTGTGAAAAGTTGCCTTGAAATAGCTAAATAAAGCTACCTGAGGTAGGTAAATAAAGCTACGGTAGGTAATTTTAGCTATGTAGATAAATGTACTGATTGTATTGGACCTGTTATAAATGTTGCATAATTGCCAGGGAGATTTAGATTGCATAGGTCATGTAAATCCCCTACAGAGAGGTATATAATGGAAATACATTCTTTTTTACACACACACACACTAACACTCTCGTTAGAAATGGCTAGATATTGGACATCTCTGTTATGCAGAATTGAACTTTCTGAAACCCATCTTATAATTAAAGCCAGACTTGCTTGTGGGCTACAACTACTTTTTTATTTAGATTTAGATTTCATTGAACCAAGAGATATATACATCCAAAAGGTATAAATACCTTACATAAATACAATAAACAATAATGCATGTCATATATACAATATTTAAAGAGACTGCTGTAAAAAAATATTAAAATAAAAAAACACAAACTCGAGATTCCCCTTCCCTTATCGAAAAGTGTTCCCTATGGACAACAAGAGTAAAGAAACCATCCTCTCACGGACTAAAGCTGCCAATATTCCTCCAAATTGTTGCTAAAATCCATGTTGACAATTTCTTATCTCGCAATAACTTAGCAATGGCGATTCACACCACTCAAATATGATGTATACGTCACAGCCTACCACATTGCGTTACAAAATTAAAGAAAGGGGTGAAAGGAAAACCAAAGAATTGTGAATAAATAGAAACTCAATGTTTCATCGTTGGATATGGAATTAATTGCACTTGTGAGATGGGATTTTTTTTTTTATATTTTTCTCTCATGCTTCGCACTCATGAAAATATTAGAAAAATCCTGTTCCACTTCTGAAATAAATGGATTTTTTTTTTCACCTGTGAGACAGGATTATTTTATATTTTCACATGTGCTTCCCACTCATGAAAATATCAAAGAATCCAGTTCCCCTTGTGAAATAAATTCCATATCCAACAACAAAACATTGAATATTTGATTTGTTTCCTCAAAAGCATTTTCTTATTTCTTTTTGGGGACTTTCAACTTTTATTTTGTTAGTCAATTGGCTTTCATGAAGAGACAGGAAAAAAATTAGGGATATTATTCCTGAACCTGTACAGGTCAAGGTAGATGTGTTCTTGCAGAAATATGTTGCCCATTCATTTAGCAAGTCTAGAGATTATTATGATATAATTGTTTGGAAGTTCATTGAAGTTTAGACAAACATTTGATAATAAACAGTTCATTACAATATCATTTCATATTTAAATGAAATGCATGACATTGTTTTTTTTCTTATCATTAACTCAATGGCAGAAACTAGTTGAAATGATATGAATGAACGATCATTTTTCGTTGTATGAATAAACGATCATGTTTTACCTTTGGAAATTATTGGGATGAATATACCTGAATTTATGCATATACTGATGCAAATGTATGGGTGGTCCTTATTTATCTTTGTGGTTATCAAATTGTGCAGGATTAATCTAAATAATCATGATCAATCAGGGTTGTTCAAAATGATAGCCCTTCATATCAGAAAAAAATATAATGGAACATCCTAACATTACAGATTAAATTTTTTTTCAGAAAAAATGTTAATGGAATTCTCTTTAAAATGTTTTTCAGAATAAAAAACAGAGGGAGAAATCAGACTTCAAAGAATTAAGTAATGAAGTGGACACTTCCAGTTCACAGAATCTTTCCTGCCATCAAAATGTCCAAGATTTGGAATCAAAGGAAATTCTTGAAGAAAGGCCCCATGTAGAAAAAGAAGAGATTGAGATTCTAGTGGAAACACTTCCAGAGCCTCCAGCAACAGATCCGGAACCTCCAGATAAAGTGGAGATTCCAGTTGAGCAGGAATCCGGAAATGTTCCAGATGAATGTGAGGTGTCAGTGCCCAGGGATAGTTCTGAACATGAAAGTGAATTAAAAGGAAGGGTTGAAGAGCTTTCTGGATCTGATAGTAGGACTGAGAGTAATGAAGATGGAAGAGTGGATCCATCTTTTAACAGAAGTGAGAGTTTTCATTCAGCTGTTTCTTCACTAGAAAGTGGAGATAAAAATTTACTTGTTGATGTAGAAATAGACCAGCAACAAGAGACAGAAGGAGAAGGAAATCTAAGTCAGGAAGCCTGTGATTCTAAAGGTCATGTAGAAGCAACAATATCTACAGATGATGTGAAAATTGAAAAGGAAGATATGGGTAGTGATAAACAGAAGTTTTCAAAAGAGGAAAAATCTAGAACAAGTGCATTTGACAAGGAATCTGATATGACATCAAAGGATGAGGAACTAAATAGAACACAAAATGAAAGAACAGAAAATGCAGTGTCTGCAAAATTGAAAGTTGAGCAGACGGACATTGTGTCTAATCAGCCATCTTCAGAAAAACCTTCGGACAAGTTGTACCCGGTGTTGGATAAGTTTATGGAACAGGTAACTGTGAGTACAGGGAAACTCGAGGTCATATCATGTTCCATTGGAACCACCTCTGTGATTGCCACTGCCCCTGGCGTGGAACACCCCATGGAACAACCAAAACAATCAGGGCCAGTGGAAAAGAATGCTTCCCAGGAGAGGATTCAGCCTTTGACCAGAGAACAGATGAAAAGTTTGTACTACAATGCCCAGTTGTTCAACAATCCAGCATTTATTGATAGGTTTATACAGGTATTAAGTGAATAAGTGGACAGAAAAATAAAGTGTTAATAAGGTTTATAAATGAGAAAATGAGAATCCAATGAAATTTTTCTGTAAAGATTTCAACATAAGCAAGTGATACACAAATTGATCGCGTAATTTGATGATTGCATCAAGTAAATAATTGGTAAATAGATTGAAATGTGAAGATAACGATGACGTAAATAGTGGTAATTAAACATGTCTCAGAAGAGTCATATGTTGCTGATATCAGCTAGAAATGGGATTAGTTATACTGCAGTGTAAATTTATATAATGTATTAATTACAGTTACATGGTTAAAATGAACATCTTCAATTATAATTTCAAAAATGCAAATGAGTTAAGGCTAAGTATAGAATGATGTTTCCATGCACATAAACTAATTAAAACACATAAGGGCTATTATACCTATTTTACAGAAAAGGTTAAAACTTATTTCCTCATACAAACTTGGTACCAATGACAAGTGATAGCCACTACACATTATGACATCATTCTTCTCTACTATACAAAGTTTTTAAAGAACAACAAAATAGCTTTGGTGCACTAGTTAGGGCATGTCCTATTTAATTTTATAGATATTCTAAGGATTGATGATATAGCTGCACAAATATAGACAACTCAATTGTTAAGTTACTGTTTGTAAAGTATTAAGTTGAAACAGGGTAAAAATTCACAGTCCAGTCTAAGTTTTTCTAAATGTTATCATATTAGGAAGTGCATAGGATTTGTGCAGCACTTTTAGTAATCTTTAGAATATTCTTCCTAGAACATATAGAATTATGCGAAAGCTGATTGTTGATGTGATCTGAAAAATAGTTGAATTCCGGTAGTTAATAATTCCTTGTAAGTGTTAATAAAATGAGATATGGAATCCATATATATGCTAAATGACTCAGAGATTATTAACAAATAACACAGTATTAATCATTCTGCTAGATAACTGATTGTAAATGCCATACACGCATTAGCTTGATATACAAACTCAAAGTGGAGCTGAAGAATGATCTGTTTGTTTGCCATCATTTTTTCACTCTCTTTATTTTTGCAGAGTGAACTCAAGCGAGAAAATCACGAGTTTTATGAGATTGTCCTGAGTTATCTTGGAGCAAGGAGACACTTTCTGAGTGCAGAGCAGGAGGTACAGGTATTACAAGCTGACTACACACAGTACAAGGAACAGAGCTGGGTCACCATCAAACAGTCCATGCCAGCCAAGGTAGTATTTTTTAATTTTTGTTGTTTTTGTGGTATGAAAAGACCCATGAATTCAGTTCCCCTGCCTAATGTTAAATTTTTTTAACTGCAGTATAATGTTCCTCCTTCAATCATAAAATCAAATCCCCTCGAATCAGTAATTTTTCCTCAAAACACCAAAATTTTCCTCAAACCACCATAAAAATAAGTGATTTTACAATACATGTACCGGTATTAAAAATTAATTCACTGTTGATGCAGGATGATTCTTAATGTTTTGAGTTGAACTTACCGGTAATTGAACACTGAACCTCGAATCATAATAATATTATGTAATAGACTATTTGAACAATAATTTTTTTATAGGACTTTAAACTTACATTCAGTAATAATTAATTAAGATTTGGACAACCAATGTCTTAAATCACCCCAGAATCTGAGTGAGTGTTATCATGGTTATGCAAGGAACTATGAGAATCTTGTTTTAATTGGATTAATCTTTAGATAGCATTTTTGTGTAAACTTGGATTTTGACAGGGTGTGTGTGGAGATGGGGCTTCTTGTAAGACAACTCACATGTATGAATCCATAGAATTCCATGATGACACATTCAGCAGCTGCAAAAAGACTTTGACTTCAATTCGACACAACATTCAGAACCAGCTGGCTTTGTATTCATACTCCTCACAACTTGCCAGGTAACCATGACAACCATGTAAATGATTTTAATTTCAGAAAATTAAAAGAAAAAAAATCAAATTATCGATGAACTCAATGTGATAATGGTAGTTCATCAATTAGTGAGTAGAAAAATGTCTTAGAATTTTTTTTTAAAATAATGGTACCTTGTAACTGGTGTATATTTAATGAGGATGTTATTGGCAGATTGCAGGTAGAATCGTACATTCATGATTTATTTACATCATCACCTATACTCAGAGATATCCCCAGGAATGCCCCTGTACAAGGTTAGTGAACCTTCAAGTAAATGTTTTTGTCAAGATTAATGAAATGTTGTTGCGATAAATTTAAGTTTACTACATTTAACTTTGGTATCTCAAATACTGACATCTCGATTACCATGGATATGTCAAAGTGCGTTGGAAGTCCCAACCACATTTTATGTATTTAAACCTTGCTATCTCAAATTCTTTGATATCTCGAAGTTTTGTTTCCATTTTCTTTGGAAGATTGTCATCATTACAAAAAGAGTTTCAATTTTCTGAGCAGAGGGGATGCTCTCCCCGCAAGAAAATTTTGTCAGGAGGAATAGAATTTGAATTAAGAAGGAATGGGACACTGGGAGATATTGATAGGGGCAAAAAGTAGATTATGTTTAAGGTAGAAATATGTTTTTACTCCTTTTAGAAATCTATTATATTTGAAGCTTTTTCAAGTTTTTTGTTGCATGTTGTAGCATGTCATCATCATAGCCCTGATGTTCAGCACCAGGTCAATCGACTGCGGGACTGCATCACTGTTCTGTTTGTCTTTCATCGCCAACCAATCAAAGATCAGGAATTTGTTCAGAACATTAGAACATGGACACAAAGACTGGTATTAATGCAGAAATAATACAAATTATTTCTTTTGTTCAGTGACATAAAAAAATGATAAAAAATGTTGAGTTTTCATGCACTAATCTATATTCTGTCTTGAAAATATTCTTCAAGGGCAAGTTTTTGTAATAGTAAAATCTGTGCTATAACTTAAAACAAGTCAGAACTGTACACCCAATATTGGTCTTTAAAAGCTTGATTGATAAAATATTCCTGAAGTAATATACTTTAACTCTTATACATGTTCATTTATATTTTGAAGGTATCAGCTTTAATACGAGTTGCAAGTTATGAAGACCATTTATTTGTACTAAATCACATCTTACGCTGCCCAGCTGGGGTTGGAAAGTGGGGAACCAGTTTAATTCAGTTCCCAGCATTCCCTTTTCGTGGAAACCAATCAAGTTTTGACAGTCCTGTTTTAGATCACTTCTTAACATGTCTTGCCACTGTTCTTATGCCTATCAAGTAAGTGTCAATAAATTTCAAATGTCTGCAGTAACTAGTATAAGTTGTCATTTCATTTGCATTTATGGAAAATACATTGTATATGTATATACTTGTTTTTTTCTGAAACATGATTTTCAGTTTTAAGCTTAAGTGAAATAAAAATTGTTCTTTAATATCATGAAAGAGTCAATATTTTATTGCAACATGCTCAGTATTGTGACAGTTACATGATTGTATTGCTATATAGGTATAGATATGCTGCCTAAAATTTTCTATGAATTGTTGAAATGTTTTCATTCTTTCAGAGGCAGAGAGGATTTTGTAGCATTGATGGGAAAATGCACAACATTGGAAAGTGGGAACCAGTCAAACAACTGGATCATGGTGGATTCTGATGGAGAGGAGGTGCAGCATTAAAAAAATACTTTAAATTTATGCTGAAAATGCTTTTAAATATTGATGGAAACAGTCAGTATAATGAGAAGGGTTCTTAACCATAAGTTTGCATGCTCATTTGATTGTTAATATTGTAAATCAACTTTATTTTGAGTGCAAAAATTATTTTCAGACCTTTTTTTTCCACTCACAAATATTTCTCACCTGTACTGATCTCTAAGACACAGGTTAAGAAAATGAATGTACTTCAGTATTTTTTTGGTGATAAAACTGTTCTCAATTTATTCTCCATAAAGGATGAAGATCCAAAGAATGCTTGGTTATACCTCCATGAAAATGACGTAGTTGCCATACTGAATCAGTTACAGGTGGCCGAAGTATTCAAGCATGTGTTATTGATGACTTCAAATTCTGATGGTGAGTAATTAGCCTTTATATGATTATCAGTTGCTTATTAAGCAAAAAATAAAAAGAATTATTCTGAGAAATGAAAATTTAATTCATAAAATGCTGAAATGGAACAATTTTTGAAATACATGTATGATGATTACATATTTTCCTGTTAATCCTAGGTACCCCTAAATATGACTGCACACTGACATCAGAATCACTGTTTCTGAAACTCCTTGCTTTCTGTACTTGTTTTGTGGAGATCCTTGGCTGTGGACTTCAGACCTACAACTTGCCAAGATACAAACAGCTCAACAAGAGAATTGGGAGAATGATCAGGTACTACTCATGTACACGTATCTGCCTGGATGTAGATTAATGGGAAAGAAAGTGACAATCTACTGAACGGAAACTTTTTGAAAAGTCTACTACATTCTTGCAAAAATTAAAATTTTAGACCCCCCCCCCCAAAAAAAAAGACCGGTGTAGCATAATATTTTGATACCGTGAAATATTGAACAGAGGTTCAATATATGGGAAATGAACCTGATTTCTATTTGTTAGGCAAGAGTTTAATATGAGAAATGAAAATGATTTCTGTTTGTTTGGCAAGAGCTCAGATAATACCAGGTCCGGAAGAACTTGGTCAGTGTAAAAGTAATGCTAAAAAGTTCCTGCAGTATTTGAAAGAATACATACAAGTATGATCTCAGTACTGTACATCTCCTGGAGAATGTTGATTTTTACCTGTATCATATCTAAGTATGAATTTGATTAAAAATTGACCTTTTTTCTACCAAATTAGAGCAAGAGTGTAGAATTGAACATATTTGTCGTCAGAGTTTCTAGGTGCCCCCCCCCCCCCACACACACACACACACACACATACACTCTTAAAGATGTAGGGAGACCCATTGTTGCTTCACAATTTGAGAACTGCGGTGTGTACCTTGTATTCATGCATTCCAATATGTTTCCCTTACAGAATGACCGTGCAGTATGTGTCTGACCACTGTGAGAATTTTTATGAACTGAACAAGCGCATTCTGTCACAAGCTCAGCTCAGAAGACTTCAAGTGGAGTACAACTGCTTCTTCCAAAGATGTTCTAACACTATTCTGTCTGCAGAAAAGTAAGTCAGAATAACTACATGTAATTTGTAATGCTGTAATGCTTTTTAAGCTTAAAAGGATTTATTGATGTGCACAGTTCAAGAAAAAATGGTACAAATTAATGTGAAATAAAACAGACACTTTAAAAGAGCATATCCAGGGGAAATTTCCCGTAATTATCAATTATAGTACACAAGTTTTTGTAGTATGGTAAAAATTGTCCAAAATGGTCCTCAATTTGATGGATTGGACAACAACCAAATGAGACAATATTTTAGGAAAGTGTATTAATTTTTAAACAAAATATGCTGTGAAAAAGTCAATTTCTATTAAGATACATGATGTATAGGTATTTCTACTAATAATATGCAAATACTCTGTATATGTTGGCAGCTTGATTTAAATACTGACTGTACAAGCATTCTGAAAAGTACATTAAGTTAAACTGATGCAAGAAAAATTATTGTAACAAGCACTCAACTATCTCTTGATTGGAGGCCCAGATTATTCAGCTAGAATGAGTGAATTTGATATCCTTAGTATCAGTTGATCAAAAGCAAATCTGCATATACTGATACAAATGTTCTTGTAGGTTGGGATCGTGGCAGTTTATGACAGACATGCCATACTCCACCGTCTCCAAGGAAACCATGTGGTTGCTGCTCTGGTCTATGCATCAAGGAAGAGGTCAAAAAATCCTAACAGACATGCCGACAGAGGAAGAATGCAGGAGACTTGTAGCAGGTCAATTATCATTATTACTTCATTTATGCAATTATCACTTGAATCACTCAGATTACTTACATTTTCAACATCCTGTTTTTGCTATTTGCTATCTGCCCCCATTAGTTATTGCATATTATATACAGTGCTGATAAAGAGATACAAAACTTTAGAAATTGAAAATCCTTCCCCCTTCATTTTGTGAAGGTTGGATCATAAATTCATGAGAATTGTATCCTTTCTCCTGCAAATCTAACCAACACAGTTTGCATATATTTATATTGAATATACATGTATTAGACTCCTCTACTAAAAATCATGTTTTTCATATTCTCCAGGGTCTTGGGTTTTAGCCCTCAGGTTGGGGCTTATTCAGTTATTCTTTATATGGACCAATGAGGCATTCTTAAATCATGCGAATCTTGAATGTGATACAAAAATTACATATTTATTAGAAATTTGTATATAAAAAGTTTGTTGTGTGGTGTTCAGGTGACCAGAAAGGTGCATAGGCCTCTGTGAATTTGAATTAAATCTAGAATATACCTCTGTGATTATTATTCCAATGATCTTTTGAGTCATTAAATGGTTGACATTTTTATGTTGATTTCAGACCCAGACAGTAAGTTACAATTGGCTGATGTTATTAACCTCCTTCCCACCTCTGAGGTCATCTTCCTGTTAACAGCTTTAGCCAACATGGCACAGTGTAGGAAAGCAGACGAAACAGAATTCATTGAAGCTGTGGCATTTGGGTTGTTTGAGGTACCGTAATATTTGTCAAAATATAGATAAAGATTAAATCCAGAGAGCTGATTATCTTTTTTATTCTGGATTGACCCACTTTTTTCAATAAACAATATGAGCTTATATTTACATGCATGTAGAAAGCAATATTGAGTTGTCCCTGGTGATTCCTGAAAACCAGGTTGTGCTGTTTTGCAGTTTTTTTAGATTTAAAAATAACAATGTACATTGCACATGCATGATGCATGAGAATCTAAATTTTCATTTGTTTATGATATTTCACTAACTTCTGATTCCTATGTTTTAGATATGCTATGTATGTAGCCAGACTAGGGAGGCCTGCTCCAAAGTCGGGAGGGACCTATTGGTGACTGTAGCCAACGCCCATCCATTTATTCTGTCTCTTCTCATCCAGGGCACCAAAGATAACATGGCCAACATTGGACCTGTAAGTTGAATTAATTTATGCTTTGTGACTTTCACAAAAAGAAATAAAATACATGACTGTATTACTGATATCCTGAGTTTACTTCCACTTCAAGGAAACATGTAAAAATAAAACAGTGGCAGTTCCAATTGATATGTACGTTGTGTATACATGTAGTAGTACTTGCTTATAAGAAAATTATTGGAGACATTATGTATTGACTTCTTAAAGTTATCAGAATTTTTAATTAAAAGATGAATTAAACTTCCTTATATCCAGGATTTCTATATAATAGAGTCCATTATAAGCAAGATTTACTGTTACAGTAATAATGATATCCATAAGTAAAGTAAAATGACTGTTTTAAGAAATTATAATTAAACATGCAGATTATCTGAATGTTTGATTTATTTGACTGTTTACAGATGGCCCTCTACCTTTTCCAAGCGCTGCCATTTTACCAGTGGATTCCATGTGAACCTGATATTATTGTTTTAAAGCAGTGGCTGATGTCATCTGATCTCAACCAGCCCCAGAATCAACTCACTAGGCATGTGCTCAGTCAACTTAACTGGGGAGTGGATCATAAGGTATGTTTAGTAGTGGAGGGGAGTTAAAACAGAATTCAACTTGTACATAGGTACATGTACTAAAAAGAATCATAATTTACATGTTTTTCCCATTGGATTTGTGTATTTGCAATTGTATTTTCTTTTACAGACTAAGAGGCTGTTCTTGCCATATGAAATCCATAAACAAATAGCTGTCTTGCTGACAGAGGCCTTTGGTAAATTCATCACCAACAAAAACATGGGTTTCTACATCACAGAAAGCTTCAAACAGGTAAAATTTAATTTACCTGATTTCGTAAACCTTTTGTCTTGAAAATGCATTTGTATTGGTGAGTATAAGTGATGAAAAAGTGAGCTCAATTTGAATTTTAAAGTAGAATACTTGATTTCAGCTTGCGTCAGCTATGAAACAACAACAGACTAATGAGCAGGTGTTTAACATGTGGGCATGGAATGTGGCTGTAAAGTTACACCTTCATCAGAGCAGCTTTCCATCAGCTGACATTGCATTGGCTAATATCAGTGGAGGTGTGCCAGAGTTAGCCAATGATAACTCGCTTCTACCAGTTCTGAAAGGCGTGAAGGAGAAAAATAGCATGGCTTGCTACATGGCTTTAGTAATTACCAAATTTGGACATAGGTAAGTATGGTCAAACTCGTTAACTCGAACACGATGAGACCTTGATTAAACTTTGAGATATCCGAGGATTTTAGATAATGAGAATTGAAAAAAACATGAAGAAAAAGTGGTTGGGACTGTCAAATCACTTCAATATATTCCTGGTATTCGAGATATGGGTGTTCAAGATGAAATTGTTGGAGTGTAAATTAATCCAAATGAAAAGGAATTATATATATTGAAACAACAAATGTTTAAGCAATGTATTTGAACATTATCATGAAGCAAATGCTTGCATTAAAAACAATCGTTTTTCAGTGATGCTGATTTCCTGAGTGAGGGATTGGACCAGCTGGTGGTGCTGGCTGAGAATTACCACTATCTCCCCACCCTTCATGTACTGAGATATGTTGTACCATTGTTTGTCAACAAACCTCAGGCTCTCATACAAAATGACAAGTAAGATAGATCTGCACAAGACAGTGTTGCTTCTCAATACTTGAGTACATGGATGTGATAAAGAAACACTTTAGACTTAGGTCAGGGCTCTCGATTCTCTATAATTGGGGCCGTTTAAAGGCCCCATTCCCAATTCAAAAAAGGTACTTTTTTTCCCAATTTAATGTTTTAATTTTCCCAATTGGTCACTTCCCCAAATATTAAAGAACATTTACCGGTAGTAAAATATGTAGTTCCTAAACTTGTTATTCATATTTCTCTATATTACAAAACAGAAATTTAGTTGATAACAACCACCAGAAACTCAATATATAATGAATTTAATGGATATTGTCTAGTTATGATTTTCCCAAATTTCCTCAAAAGGTCGCTAATTTTCCCAATTTTCTCGGCCCTGGCCCCAGTCCCAAAAAACTGGTGTGAGAGCCCTGTAGGTACAAAATTACAAAATTTTTAATTTATTAATGATTTTATTTTTAATTTGTTGTTTAGGTTTCTTAAAGTAGTGCAGTTGCTTCTCTCAGCTGATGAGTCTTTCATGAAATCTGCCAAAAGCCTCTGGTCACATGACTTTCCTGGACCAGTCACAGAGAACTTTTCAAATATGATTTTGGTAAGCCGTGCGTAGTTTCTCATAGTCTTTTAATCTGGTATTGTTAGTCTTGGCAGATTACAAATGCCACAGTGACTGATTGTTTTCCATTATAAAAACTGTCTTCTTGAAAACTGTCCCAACCATATATTAAGTGACTGTTTTCTTCCTTATTTCAGAATCAAGCCTCTGGTTCACTTGTTAATGGTACAGATTCTTCATATCTTGTAAGAATCTTAACCCTATGGATTCAAGTCTTGACAAAACAGTCCAAGTGGTACTTGGATAAGTAAGTAGTTTATTAAAAAATTAATTTAGTGAATGCAGCAGATGTATATAATTTTAGAAGCTGTTTACTGTTTGAGCTTACAGTTAACCAGCTGTTATTTATTAGAGTAAAAACAAAATAAATGCAATTCCTTCACCTGTCTCTCTGACAATAAAAAATAATGTTATAGGAAAGGAGGAAGTCCATTCATTTGCATTCAATAAAAGTACAGTAGATTACTGCTTGCCCTAATGTTAATAGCAAACTTACAGTTTAAATGGAAATTACATGTACATTTAGATATGTATAATATAAGTATTTAAGTTACACAAATCTGATGGGAAAAAAGTTTCAGCATAGTAAATATGAGCATATCGTTTTAAAGGACTTAGGTGGTTATTTATGTTCAAAAAATTATTAGAATTATCTGTTTAATTGTGTAGAAATACTTGCTATGTCTTGGATCGAATGATTGAGATGGGCTTCAGCTCTGACAATGTAATGGTGGCCCTGCAGTTAGCTTTCAAGGAGGCATTTCAAGTAAGTTTAAATATAATTCCCATGTACATGTACCAAAATTTTTTTTCTCAAACCACAAAATTTTCCCCAGAAATTCTGAAATGTATCAAAAGAGAGATGTGTTTCTGTTTCAGGCCCATTATAAGGAAAGTCACCAACAGGGGGGCATGGCCTCTTTTGTCAGTTGGGTGTCCTCAGGTGTGAACTCTGTGACAGTTCTCTCCCTTACAGAAAAAATGTCCTCCCCTCATCAGTTTGGCTGGCTGTCCTACCTGCTCCTCGATATTGAGATGAGGACTGAAGAGGACTCCAAACTCTGGCCTCATTTGAGGGCAGAGATAGCTAATGACCCCAAACAGGGAGTGGATCAGGCATTAAAGGTATTAGCAAATATTTATTTCTCTGAGAGTGTATGAACACAAGTTGATTATCATTTGAAAATTTTTTAAAATTGTTACAGCTTATCTGCTATACAGTCATTCTACAAAAACATGACCAATTAAGATTTTTTTATGTCGCTTACAAATTTACCGTTGTAATGTCATAACTAAAAATTTAAAGGCCGATTTCAACTCTAAGACTTAACATACACACATGGTTTTGTAAATATTCACCGATATATATGCAGTTAAAGTTTTAACATAATGTAATGTTGAAAAACATATTCCACTGCAAATCTTAATGTCGCTTCATTTGTTTATAGATTTCAAGATGAAATTTTCAGCCGTAAAATCGTTCCGAATAGATTGCAATAAATGTGAAAAACTGTCTTTTATCCTATATAAAAAGAAATTAAAGCATTTCTTGCAAAGAAATGCATAGATCTCCTTTCATGCAAATTCATAAGCATGTCGCTAAAAATCGATTAACTTCCGTAACGATTTTATTTTAAATTTCATGCATAGATTGCAGATTTCAAAAAGAACTGAAACTTATCTGAAAGTGACCACGGAACCTTATATCATCGATTCTAGTTGTGATTCAGCTATTTTAGACGATTACATTTTTGACATAACAAAATGAATTAGACAAAAACAGTTGTCTCTCTTAAAATTTAACTTCTGTAACGGTAATTCAGGAAAGGTTTTGCATTAAAGGTATGAAATTTTTTATTATTTTGGGAGCAAAATGCTTTAAACTTTTGTTTAATATCCTAAAACAAACTTTGATTTTAACTATATAAGAGAATTTTAACTTTTATTGCTGGGAATTAACTTCTGTAACGAAATTTTTCCCGAAAATTTAATTTAAATTCAGATTCACTCGAGACTTCATGAATCATACTTTAGCGTTCTTTACTGAACATCAGAAACAAAAAATTGGTCAAATTTAGCTTTATTTAAAAAATAATAAGGCTTGATCAAGCATTAACTTCCGTAACATTACATTAAAATCAATGGTATCTTGAAATTGTTGTAAAAAGTTAACGAAACCAGATTTGTGGACAATTCTTTGTTTTTCAAGTTCACTGATTTGTCCTTTAGAGAATTATGATGTTCATTTTGCTATTTGAAACAATTATTTTTTTCATGATTTTTTACTCTGAATTGGTCCATTTATCGTAGAATGACTGTATAGTGCAATGTACATATACACGTAGGTGTAGATTTATAAAGTTTTTTAATCATACATGTTATTCAATTGACAATATGCTAACCGATTCAAGGAAATTGAGGAAAACTGATTTTTTTTTTTTTTTACAGAAATGTGTCATGAAACTGAAGTTAGAATATGCTCCCAGTGTAAATAGTTTAACCCTTTACCAGTGGTCAAAATTAGCTGTTGCCATGGATATGGATCACCCTCTTTTACTTCTTGTTTGGCAAAAGTTCTTCTTACTCTTTCTTGGCCGCCAGGTTTCACAAGTCACGTAAGAAATCTGAAAATTTTTATGGTTTAGAAGTACAGAGGGAGTGGGGAAGGTGTAGTAATGTTGTAAATATTCGTTTATTAGTTTGAACTCTTATACATGTATTTATACCTGACAGGATGCAGCAGAGGGCTAGCATTGGAGAAAAGTTTTTTGAGAGCTCCAGACATTCTGGGGACTTGAAGAAAATGAAGAAAAGATTGGGAGAAACAGCTGATTTTCACATGAAATACTGCTCAGGTATTGTTATTCGTATTATTTTCACAAGTACATGTAATTAGAATTTAAATATGTACATTGTATGTTTGAAAATGTCAGTGTAAGAATTTTGCGAAAAAAGTCATTTCAATCATGATAATCTATGTGCATGTATCTCTTTGTACATGCTTAATATTACTGTTCAGAATTTAGAACTCAAGGTCAATTGGAGGTTAAAAAGTAGTAAGAAAGTAATTGGAGTATTTCCAACTTTCAGATGATTCACAAGACACTCCAATTGGCAACAAATATGTCCCAGATAAAGATTTTCACCTGTCATTGTCAAGGTAAGAACAAATCACTTCTGTCAGGAGAATTACACTTTGTAAAATGGTCACTAAGTCATAAAAATATTTTATTTCATTCCATACACTATGCTAATTGTTTTGTTTGACAACAAAAAAGAAAATTTCTTTCTCAGAGATTTTGTAAATTAAGCCTAATTGACCACACTCTTCTTCAAGGAACACTGATGATTTTACCATTTGTCAATGTTGAATCATTATATCCAGTAAATTACGATTATAGAAAAGTGCCAGGGATGAACAATTTTGATTTGTTATAAACATACATGTAGTTTGTTATATCTGTTAAGTTCTGAATTTGTTTTAAAGCTACAGGGAATGAAAATCCCTTCAACCATTGTAAGGGTGTTTGCTGTAACCATGTTTTATTGTATTTACAGCATGTACCAGACATTCCAGCTCTGGGTCCAGGAACCAATGTTGCACGATTCCAAGCTGTACCTCCCCGCCCTACCTCAGCAGTACCAGGCCGACCGCCTCCTCCAACTCTTTCAGAATCAAAAGGTAATAAAACTCATACAGAAATGGTTACAGCAGATCAGCGAATAGTACAAATGTTGAAATGTGTGTAATGGTATATATCTACATAAATATACACATTTATTTTATTATCTTTATTGAATTTCATATATGTACTTAATAAATCATACTTTTTGAATTGATTTTCAATGTAAAGGACAATTTTAAATGGAAAATGTAGATTTTCCAATCACAAAGATTGATTCAGATTTCATTGGTTTTGATGTTTTGTGTAGCATCTTTTATTTTTGATACATTTCTTTGAAAATCACATCATGATCTCAACTGTTTTCTCTCTCTCTTCCTCAAAATCAAGCTTTGCCTTGCAGGAGCCCTGGATGAATTATTTGGATTTGCAGAGAATAAAACATGAAATAAAAATCTTGTCTAAAACCTGGGAGGATCATGTGACCTCAACAGAGGGCCAGAGAAGAGGGGAGTTGTCTAATAAGCCAAATCTTACTGGTAAGTTCTCACCAAAGGAATTTAAAGCAATAGCCAATAGCCAAATCAAAGAAGTTGAGAATTTCATACTAGTAAACATGTCTTTTCCATCAAAATAAGAATTCCAAAAAATGCCTACAAGGAAAAATGTATTATTATGAACATATTATTAACAAATCCAAGAATGTACGTAAAACTATGTAATATGGAATTAATGCCAAAAATATGAAAAATTCAAAATCCTTGCTTGTATCAGTATTGCTACCAATTTTGAATACTGCTCAGGAATACTGATTAAAAAAGACAAGAAAATTTACTTGAATGGTATGTAGAAGGACTCTGTACATATGACTATTTATTTTTCCAGCAACAGAACGGATTCTTGGTAGGTTAAAGCACCATGAACCCAGGGTAGATCTCCCAGCTCTACAGCCCCTGAAAGCACTCATTCCTGAAATTAGCACCACCATTTTAGATGAGAAATCTGCCACTCTACACCTGTTGAAGTCGGACCTCGTTAATCTGAAAGAATATGCAAAGTAAATTTTTTTTAGAAAAATCTTGTAATGTGATGAACTATATCGCAATTTATTTTGTTCTGAAGAATTTCAATTTAATTGACAAGGATGAGCTATCCTCTGTAAATTTTGTTTTGTCAGATAAAGGAGTATGTGTACATGCTCCTAGAAAATTTTGTTTGCATGAATCAGAAATTTGTTTAATATGATGATATTTACCCATATTCATTTTAGTGTATTTCGATGTTCATGTAAGCTTGTTCCTCTTTTCAGATCTTTTCACATGCGGGTTTCAAAGCATGTGGCACTTGATGATGATTTCTGTCGCCTGTTTCCTCAGCTGTACTACAATAAATCTAGACAGGTACACTAAAGATATCAAAGTTATTTCCTTTTATAAAATATATGAAGATAGAAGTTATTTCTTTTTATGCAATATAATACATTCATTTAAGTTCTTGAATTTTGTGTACTGGGCTGCATAAATCTTGGTATGATTAAATTCAAAGTCATGAAGTTAATTTAGAATATTGCATGCACATAGTAGAGAGTGTTTGAGAATTATTGATTGATTATTGCACTTTCAATAAATACATACAAATATAATGGCTTAGTGATTAAAGAGTTTGTTTTAAGGTCAAGGTAACAATAGAGTGCAAGAGCATCATCAACCCTCTTCATAAGTGTTCAAATCCTGCAGTGGTCAATCTTGATGTAAGTTTTGTTCTACTGGGGCATTTAGAATCGAGAATGTCATGCAATTATATTACTTTTAAATGAAGGCCTCTGGAAATTCAGATAAATTGAAATATTTATACATGTATATCAGTATTTTTGTTATGAAAGAAATTCCAATTAATTTTAATGTTAAGGTGCAAGAGAAAGCTTGTGATGAAATCATCCAGAGACAAACTGATGAGAATAGAGCCGAATATAAACAGCTGATGATAGAGGGGTTATCTCCCCCTCCTCTCAGTGTCTGTGTCGCAGCTGTACATGTGGAAAATGCCATCACGTAAGTATCAGAATATGAAGGAAAACAATTCAAAGTTTATATGTGTATTGCATGAATATTACATTTAGTTCACATGAAAACAGCACATTTAAATAATTGATCAGCATTAATTGATTTTTATCAAAATTGTTTTCAATATCTATAGCATACAGTTAGCCTGATAATATCATGAAAATTGTAATCATATGCACTGTACATGTACCTGTATAAAAACACTATGGCTTGTCAGGTATATAATGTTATCTGTTATATTTTTAGCATGTTGGTCAAGCTGGCCAGAATGACCACAGATGACCTGAGAGCTGCCTACTACACTGACCTTGCCTGTACACTGTTTTTCCTCTTGGCTGAAATGATAAATGATGACATTGAGTTCTACCCTCCCACTAGACAGTTTTACACTGCCTGTATTGACATGCTTGGCAAGGTGGGTTCTGTTCATTAAAAGTTAAAATTTTCATTTTTTAAAATTTGCTGGATATAAATTTTCAGAGGCTTTTTAACATTGATTAAGGCACTGAATCACAAATAAGGACTTTCTGTGTGTATTTAACATGGAAGTTTTTGTAAACGTACAGTAATTTACTGATGAATTTAATACCATTCTTAAATCTGTTAATGTGCACGTTTTCATAAATTTATGCATGTGTATTGAAAGCAAATAGATATGAGATGTACATGCAGTAAACAAATGTTATTTTGTTCAGGAGTTTATTGAAAAAGATCCATCACAAACAGAGATCGTTCTACAGTTTTCTCTGAATTCTCCCGCCATGTCTGGTCTGATGTCGCCACACTTTGTTCCTATTAACAACCCCCACACATACGTCACCATGTATGAGAGACTCGTCCAGATACTACAGCAGCAAAACCCTGACCTTGTGTTCATGCTTCTGACCAAGGTAATAATTTTGATACATCTTGAGTCATCTTTTTCAGCTACTCTTATGATGCATAAATTTGAACGTCTGTATCTGTAAAATTGTTGAATACTAGGGATGTACTGAATTTTATCATCAGTCCTTAGTACTTAATTATTAATTTAAGTAACAGCTTTGATATCACACACGCTTTGACAGCCCTGTCATGTTCAAGACATTGGGGTTCAACTGTATTTATTTTCTTTAGCTGTTGAGTGACTTTGTTTGTTTGCTATGTATTGCTTTTGTTCTATGTATAAGCTTCAACTAATGCAATAGTAGATGAAAGATTTTCTAGTAAGTTTCTGTTCTATAAGAATGTATCTTACCTCCCTTGTTTCAGTTTGAGATTGCCCAGTGGCTACAGACCAGATCTCCAGCTCCTATTGAAGTAAAGAGATTTGTGGACATTCTGGCCTCAGGTCTCTACAGCTGTGGGGTGGATCCTGACACCAAACATGGCATGGTGTTTGAGGTGAAATATCTTTTGTCATAAAATGCCTTGTTGGACCATTTATTCAATATGTCTTTGGGATTAGAATGCACTGAGCATCTCTCTTCCTATACAACTTTGGTGAAAGAGAATAGCAAGTTATGCACATTAAAATGGGCTTTAGGCTGAATTAAATATGTTTGGTACATTTCCCTCTATAAAATATATTTGAAATTTAGAGATATTCCTAAATATTCCTTAAATTTTCAGATATATTGCAAGCATCTAAGAGCAGTCCTGAGGCATAACTTTCCTCAAAATCTGAATTATGTTCTGAACATTATCCTCACAGGTAACCTTAAAGTTTGTTATAAATCTTGCATTGTTTATTTTGATTTGTATCCAGATGTCATTCATATAAAACCTCAGCATGAATTTGAATACTTTCAGGTACTGCAAAACAACAGATACATCCGAAATGCTGGCAGATTTTACAGGAACACTGTTTTTATGCAAGAGGAACTGATGTTACTTCAAGACGGACTAATGTTGGTTCTGACATGTCTACCGAACAGGTAACATAATGATGAACATTCTCAATTCCCCTTTTGTTCTCATTTTATGTAATTCTAGGAAATATCTGTGTCTGTGACTAAGAATGTAGAGCATTTTAAAGTAAAACCTTTTTTTAAGTCTTATTTAATGGCAAAACTCTTAGTAAATGATGTTAAATAAATTAAGATAAAATGCAGCATATTGATCAAACCTTAATGAGTAGAGTGTAAATTGTTGATGACAATGAAATATTAACCAAAATTCCTCTAATGCAACCAAATTTCCTCTAATTTAACAAATTTCTGCAGAATTAGAAATGGATGGGAAAAAACAAACTTTGAAGAGCTTTGTATAATTTCACCAAGGAGTAAAAATTTTGTTTACAGAACTATTTCCCACTATGATGTTAAAAGTTAGTTTCTGACATTATCATGTTAATGTACAATTATTTATTTTTTTCTATGACACAGACGAAGCATTGCCTATCAGCTATAGGCTGTTTCTTCCTCCAGTTGAGGACCTCCTCCTCAGACCTTGGATCTTTTGGCCTCTATCCAAGCACTATGCTGTATGTGTCACACATCACACAGCTGATACAAGATCTAATGATCTGCTTCATAAACAAAGTCCTGCCCACTCTTCAGGAAACCAACCCTGCTCAGGGTAAGGATATATTGCAGCAAATTTCTAAAGGATAGTAGATTCTATTTAAATTGATATCATTGAACATTTTCTTTTTGTAAAGTGATTTATTACTTTAAAAGAGAAACTTAATGTAGATGTCAACATTTGACAATGTTTATTGTATTCTTTCAAAATAGGCAGAAAAGAGTTCAGAGATTGATTTTTGTATACTTGTGGACCAAAATAAATTAGATCTGCATCAAAAGAAAAACTAAAACATCTGAAAAGATAAAAACACTTTCTGATTTTTTTTTTCAGTTCTAGATGTAATATGGCAGACACACATCATGGCGTTTGCTGCTTGGATTCAGCCATTAGAAACAGAGACATCCCCTCTGTTGCCATGGATACAAGCTGATTGTGAGGCTGGGAAGAAAATGGTGGAAGCCTTTGTTTTTGTTACTAAGTATCTTCACCAGGCATTCATTAGTGAGTTTTAGTGGAGAAAGAATGAAACGAATTTACTTGTAGAATGAAGTTGAAGTGTGATCATGATGATATTTATAATAGTAAATGGTAGAGAAACAGAGTATCTAGTACATATACATCCATGTATATGTACATGTACAGTTTAATGAAGCTCTAAACACTAACAAAAAGTGCTTTTTGGGCTTGGAGATAAATATATCATATAAAGGTGTGCATATTGAAACTATTTAATTCATTTTCAACATAGGGTACCTGCCTTATTTCCGCAGGAAAAATGTTCTCGGACAATGGATTATTCATGAACAGAAATCAGTTGTTTACTTACAGTGGGAAAATCAACGGAAATAATGAATTCAATTATTTATTCTTGTTCTAATATAATACTAAGAATATTTTAATCTATTATAAATTGTGTAATTAACAGTAAGTAATCATTTTTTCTATCTTACATCTAAGGGCAGATCACTCTAACTGCATAAAACTACCATACAATAGAACTCTTTAGTGTGCAGTGTTTAGAGCTTTAAATATTTTCTGAGCAGGATAAAAAGATTATGTGTTCACTGTGTTTACAAACCGTTAAATTGTTGTTCTAATGCCTTGAACTAATTATTTAATTATGCACTAGATTGTTTGCTCAGTTGCAAAAAATTGATACTATAACAGGGAAATTTTCGCCCCCGTTTTATTTTCGCCCCTTTCGCCCTACCCTCATTTGGGCGAATTTAAAACGGGGCGAATTCAAAGAATACAGTATAATTTCTTAAATAAAACTATGAGTGGGCAAATTTAATAGGGGGCAAAATTGTTTGCAAGTGTGAAAGGGCGAAAATAAAACGGGGCGAAAATAACCCTGTATACAGTAGTCGTGGAGAGATTTAAAACTGATGAATCAGAATTAAAAATTGTTGCGACTAATAATTTGTTTGGATTACATTTTAAAAAATGTAGGACCTGGTATGATCTCTTTTATAGATGTAATACCACCATACCAGTCAAACCCTCTGATAAGGATCTGGCTTTATTTCTGTGATGTGTTATGTGGTAAACAAGTCCCAGCACATGTGACCAATATATACAACCAAGAGTTCTTAGAATTGCCATGGGAAGCTCTTAAACCCAACACTCAGGTTCTCGACTCAATGATGCAGGTATGCTTTCAGGAATGTGCATCTGTTACAATACCAAAATTTCCACTATCATCAAAATAGTCATTGGCTAAAGTACTTAAGAAAATAGAGTTAAAAGATCAGAGTGTTGCTGACTGCCTTCTGCAAGTTTGTCAAAAATTTTGGTTACCTTTGAGCAATTACCGGTAAAAAATCTGGTATTAAAATACTTTCTTCCTGTCAATTTGTAGCTGAAGGACCAGAACTGCCCTGAGAGCTTTGACCTTTTGGCCTCTGTTGTATGTCGGCTGGACTGGACAGATATATTGGCTTTCTACAGTCAGTGTTATGGAGGGCAGGGAACCAGTCGAGTCCTGGCTTGTGTACTCCTTCTGCTGGTACAGTGTTATGGGGACCAGAAACATGTTGAGGTATGAATGAAATTCATACATTACAGATCTACAAAATGAATATTAAATATACATGTATAGACCTTGCAATATCTTCAGAACCCATTAATGTAGTAAAAGAAGCAGCTTAATATGCAAATTTTTCCATCCTTGTATATTTACTAATAAATCAATGTCATTATATTAAGTGTGCTTTTTTGTATCTTTTTTAGAAATTTAGTGAAAACCATAATTTTCATGACTTGATCATTACAGTGCTGAAGTACATGAGTCATCTAAACTAATTAATTATCTATTTTTTCCATCAGATTCCTGATCTGGCACAGAAGACTCTCACAGCGGAGACTTATGATTGGTCAACATTGACCTCTGACCACTACAGACATGCCAGTAATTGGTTCCTACAAACTTGTGATCCCCGGTGTGTTTTAGCAGAGAGGTCTGCCTCCTCTGCACTGGGTTTAAGGTAAGAAATCCTCAAATTCTTCCTACAACCGGCCATTACAAAAGAAAGATCAATTGCTACTGAGTTGAATTTATTTTAAAGTCTAATCTTTTTCATACTTCTTAATATCAAGTCTTGCTAATTCAGGAAATGTAGACCCTGGAAATTTTTTAAAATGATCATACTGCACTAACTTCAGGTTGTTAAAGGCTGCATCAGGGTTCAATGTTCAGTCGTCCATGACCTGGACCTCTGACCTTTCAGTCAAGCGTCAGTGTTACATACACAGCGTGGTACAGTTGATGTGTCAGTGTACGTTTGAAGCAGATGTCAACCTTGACACTATTTCTATGATTCTTATGAATCTGTTGACAGAGGTGGAAACAGTCACCAGTGCAAGTAAGAGAACTTAATGGATCTTCACTTAGATTATAGTGTTACAGTCCCTGTATTTTGTCTGATTCTAGAATAGGAGTCAGGTAACAAAGATTTTGAACAACTAAACAGTGGTCTAAAAATCAATACAATACCATATTAGATTTATTCAATTGTTAAACCACTCTTATAGATATTGGATTCAGTTATGCATGTATGAAATCAAACTTTTAAAGATTTTTGTTCTAATTTTAGTAACAGACACTCGTCTACAGGAGGAAGAGAGTCTCGACTTAGTGAGGGAGATATTTGCCCTTCTGAATAACTGTAATCCTGAAAATAATTCTGTGTCCGTTGTCATGACAACCATCATCCAATGGCTGCAGTCCTCGCCCAGGAGCATACTCCTAATGCCATGTGTGAGGGTAGCCTCAAGATGTCTGGCATCTCATAAACATATTGTAATCATTGTAGAGGAATGCATACATGTGTATTTTAAAGGGGGTAAGAAATTTTACTCAAAAATAATGTAAAATTATGAAAAATTGGTAGCATTTTTTATCATTTTTAATCTTGATGAATTGAAAATATTTGCATCATCATTAAAAATGATGAATATTTACAGTAATCACCTTATGCATGTTGGATAAAATGAAAACATTCCAAGACAGTGGTTATTTTTTATTTGAATGTCAGATAAAAAAATTAAAGTTTTTCTTTCTTGATAACATCATGTAGAGTACATTGTATCTCTAGGCCTGGATCAAGTTCCTGGAGGGGGTTGGGACCATGTTTTAGCAGCCATGCAGATCCCTGACCTCAATATTGAGGATTTCCTGAGAACTGCTCTGGAGGAGGGGACACATTTATTACTGTATGGATACATTGTACAGAAACTTCCCTTGTGTCAGCAGTTAACAGATGAACAAGTTCTGATTGGTCAGCTCTTGAACTGGATCACTCATGCCAAACCAGTGTCAGTATCATGCATTATAAACATATGGACATATTTCAGTCTGTTCTTAATTTTAAAGTAACTTTAATTAAGGTGAAGTGAAGCACTGACTGCAAATAGAAATTTATTTTGATTTTTTTATTCCCATGTGTTTTGATGGGTCATTTACATTGACATCTCATTTCTTGGGTTTAAATATTATCTTTTCAAATACTCTGAGGACATTCCTTCATACAGCTTTGTACACAAATTCATTGTTGTCATTGCTCTTGTAGTCCACATGTTTTAACTGTAAACCTTGGCTCTCATATTCTCATTTTGCATTCTCATTTTCTCATCCTTGTTCAAGAGCAATATTAGACTGTGAAAGTTTCCACCATACAATTTTTTTAAATAAGAAAAATTTCACTTTTAACTCTTCAATATATGCACATTTACACAGTTAATTTATTTTGAAATTTCTTAATACTGCAATAGAAATGAGGCTCACAGCTGGGCATTCATGTACCATGAATGTTCACACACAGTAAAACATGCTTAAAGCAAACACACTTATAATGAATTGACGCTTACTGCAAAGTGTTTTTTATACCCCCGCTCCGAAGGAGAGGGGGGTATACTATTTTACCCTTGTGTGTCTGTCTGTCTGTCCGTCTGTCTGTCTGTCTGTCTGTCTGTCCGTAACAAATTTTGGTCGCAGTTTTCTCAGCAACTACTCATTGCAGATGCTTGAAATTTTAGCACAATCTTTGTTTAGGCATGTCATATGGTGGGATTCATTTTTGTACGAATCCTATGTCAACTTCCTGTTTATCCGTGCGTCTGTCCGTACCATACATAAAAATTTTGGTTGTACTTTTCTCAGCAACTACTCATCGCAGGTGCTTGAAATTGTAGCACAATCTTTGTTTAGGCATGCCATATGGTGGGATTCATTTTTGTACTAATCTGTTGTCAACTTCCTGTTTATCCGTGCGTCTGTCCGTACCATACATAAAAAATTTTGGTCGTACTTTTCTCAGCAACTACTCATCGCAGGTGCTTGAAATTGTAGCACAATCTTTGTTTAGGCATGCCATATGGTTGGATTCATTTTTGTACTAATCTGATGTCAACTTCCTGTTTATCCGTGCGTCTGTCCGTACAACACATAACAAACTTTGGTAGCAGTTTTCTCAGCAACCACTCATCACAGGTGCTTGAAATTTTAACACACTCTTTGTTTAGGCATGCCATATGGTGGGATTCATTTTTGTACAAATCCGATGTCAACTTCCTGTTTATCCGTGCGTCTGTCCGAAACATACATAGCAAATTTTGGTCGTAGTTTTCTCAGCAACTACTTATCGCAGATGCTTCAAATTTTAGCACAGTCTTTGTTTAGGCATGCCATATGTTGGGATTCAGTTTTTACAAATCCAATGTCAATTTCCTAATTATCACTGTCTTTGTCTATAACCGAACTTGTGTATTCACATCAGAGCGGGGGTATTATTAGTGAGCATTGGCTCACAGACTTCTTGTTTTTTATCCCTGAGACTTTAAGATATACATGTATCATGAACTTAATGGATGTAATGAAATACACTTATAATGAAGCAACATCATCCATCCCTGGCACTTCATTATAATCATGTTTTACTGTACATGTATTTTTGACTCAAAACAGTTTCTAAAGTTAATAAAGGTCATCAGAGAGACATCTAAATATTGGTTTATAATATTTTATATTTTCCAGCCAGGAGAATGAAAGCAAATTACTCTTGCTGTGGTTTAAGACTCTGGAGCTGATACTGAGGCAGTTGGATTATGGATGTAGCCACACGACAATAATCAAAATGCTGTCTTCCCTGGTGACCTCTTTGCACTTATTTGGTGAGGACAGGGCAAGCGGTGGCTTGCTTGGTGCTATTGGACTTGGAAAGCGTTCCAGTCTCTCTCCAGTGTAAGAAAATAACTTTATTTACATGTATGAAATTTTTGTGCTCTGAACATAATTATACATGTTACAAATAGATAGATATATAATTAGTTAATTACAGATATACAAAATATGCTGTATATGAAAATAAATAAACATTGCAGATTTCGTTTATCATGTCGAGCCCTTGCAGCCATGATAACTCTACAGGTCTATGATGAAATGAGACTTCGTTTGCAAGCAGGACAGTCATTGGCTAATAATGGAGCAACCAAACAGGAAGTGGGAGCTCTTCTGTCCATGAAAACAAATAAAGCATACCAGTCCTATAAGAATGAAATTGAAATATTGTGTGATTTGGTTCAGAATGAAAACTATGGATTACGACAGACATTAAATTTAATCCACCAGTTATCTCAGATGTTCTACAGAGAGAAAGAATATTTATCTGTAATACATACATTTGACAAGTAGATATCTAAATATATTTCACTTCAAAGCCTTTTCAGTTTTTGGTTTTTCTCATATTTTCTTTTACTTTCAATTGATATTGCTTTGCATTTGTTTATGATATATACGTGTAGCATAATGACTAGAATGACCAATGAATAGTGTGAATATTATGGTATATGAATATTATGATAAATTTGTAATTTAAGTTTGTAATTCAAAATACAAAAGTGTGATATTTTGAAGCATTAATTGTCAGTATGGTGATATCAGTGACAGATGAAGCTTAAATGGCAGGGTTGTTATTTATTTATTTTTTTTTGTATGCATATACATTAAATTTACATATGTTTAAATAAGAAAATTGGGAGACATAAGATTTTTATTCAGTCAATGAAGAAGATGCCAATTAATAATTTGATTCATGAACTGCACTGGGGATAATTACCAAAAATATGAAGTTTAAAGGATCATTTTTTTTTAATCATAAGTAAATGTGGTTAATTCTGCCTTTGTCAGAACTGTTAACTTTTTCTCACATATATTTGCGAACTTGTCTGTAGATATGATATAAGAGTTAATTAATATTTGCAGCAAGTCCTATTCCTCAATATTTTTTCATAATTTTTGATTTATTTGATATCAGTAATCAGTATGCATATTTTGTGATGTAATTAGCTGAAAAAAAGAAAATGAATAACATGTAATTTGAATAATTGTAAGCATCAGCCAAAGTGTTAGTGTTATAGTACTAGTGTTTGATGTATGATTCATCTTGTTATAGCTGAAAAGTGTGATGCATAATTTTTTAAAATCATACATTAACCCCAAAGAAAAATATCTATAGATAGAATGTTCAACGTTTTCTCCATCAGAATTTGATTGCTCAGCTCAACTCTTTTTAATTTACAGATGTTGAATTTTAATTTTTAGGTCACCTGAGTCACTCAGGTGACCTATTGCTATCTGTTTTCGTCCGTCGTCGTGCGTTGTCCGTCGTGCGTCGTGTGTTAACATTTGAACATTTTCAGCTTCTTCTCTGAAACCGCTGAACCAATTTCAGCCAATTTTTGCATATGGCATCTGTGTGTGAAGGGGAACAAAATTTGTGAATTTCATGGTCCCTGCCCCCCTGGGGCCTGAGGGGTGGGGCTAAAACCATCAAAATTAATGCAATCTTTAAAAATCTTCTTCTTTACTCCTGGACATCAAGCAGTCAAACTGTTGACATGATTGTAATAAGCATTGAGCCCTCTACCAAAATTGTGAAATTCATGGCCCCAGGGTCAGGGGTTCTGGTGCTAGGGCGGGGCTATATAGATCATATAGTGAAAGTGCATTATTTCTTTGAAAATCTTCTTCTCTACTCCTGGGTATTATTGAAACAAATTGAATACATAGTTATGATAAGCAAGGGTGACTCTACCAAAATTGTGAAATTCATGGCCCCAGGGTCAGGGGTTCTGGTGCTAGGGCGGGGCTATATAGATCGTATAGTGAATGTGCATTATTTCTTTGAAAATCTTCTTCTCTACTCCTGGGTATTATTTAAACAAATTAGATACAGAGTTATGATCAGCAAGGGTGACTCTACCAAAATTGTGAAATTCATGGCCCCAGGGTCAAGGGTTCTGGCACTGGGGGGGGGGGGGGGTATATAAATCATATAGTGAAAGTGCATTATTTCTTTAAAAATCTTCTTCTCTACTCCTTGGTATTATTGAAACAAATTAGATACAGAGTTATGATCAGCAAGGGTGACTCTACCAAAATTGTGAAATTCATAGCCCCAGGGTAAGGGGTTCTGGTGCTGGGGGGGGGGGGGGCTATATAAATCATATAGTGTAAGTGCATTATTTCTTTAAAAATCTTCTTCTCTACTCCTTGGTATTATTGAAACAAATTAAATACAAAGTTATGATAAGCAAGAGTGACTCTACCAAAATTGTGAAATTCATAGCCCCAGGGTAAGGGGTTCTGGTGCTGGGGGGGGGGGGGCTATATAAATCATATAGTGAAAGTGCATTATTTCTTTGAAAATCTTCTTCTCTACTCCTGGGTATTATTTAAACAAATTAAATACATAGTTATGATAAGCAAGGGTAACTCTACCAAAATTGTGAATTTCATGGCCCCTGGGTCAGGGGTTCTGATGTTAGGACGGGGCTCCATTTATTATATAGTGAAAATGCATTAATGCTTTAAAAATCTTCTTCTCTGCTTCTGGGTATTATTTAAACAAACTAAGTACATAATTATGATAAGCAAGGACACCTCTTCCAAAATTGTGAAATTCATGACCCCAGGGACAGGGGTTCTTGTGCTAGGGTGGGGCTATATAGCTCCTACAGTGAAGGTGAATTATTTCTTTGAAAATCTTCTTCTCTGCCCCTGGGTACTATTTAAACAAACTAAGTACATTGTTATGATATGCAAGGATGCCTCTTCTAAAATTGTGAATTTCATGGCCCCAGGGTCAAGGATCCTTGTCAAAGGGGGGGGGGGGCTCTATTGATTATATAGTGAAAAATCAAAATTTCTTTGAAAATATTCTTTTCTGCTTCTGGTTAAAAAGCAAAGAAGCTAAGTATATAGTTATGATGAGCAAGAGTGCTTCTTCCAGAGTAGTGAATTGCATGACCCCTGGGTCAGATGTGCTGGTATAAGGGTTGGGCTGTTGATAATGTAGTGAAAATGCATTAATTCTATTAAATGATCCTGTCTGCTCCTTAATGTTAAGCAGTTAAACAAAGTGATTACTTATGATGAGCAAACTTGAAACTTCTGGTCCCAGGGTGAGAGGCTCTGGTGTTTCTCGGTGGTGAAGGGGGGGGGGGGGTGGGGGTGGGGGAGGGGCTCTATTGATAATATAGTGAATCTGTAGTGAAAATGCATTATTTCTTTAAAAATCTTCTCTGCACTTGGGCATATCAGAGGCAAAAAGTGTAAAAGTTGTAATAAGGAAGGGTATTTTTACCAGATTTTTGAACATCTGGACCATTTGGTCAAGTGTTCTGGTCCTAGCCAGGGTTCAATTAATTTGCATTCTACTGAGAGGAGTTATTCCCCTTTGCCGTTTACTTTTGATAATTAATCATTGTAAATAATGTACATGAAAAATTAATAGAATAAGAGAATTATGCAAGAATTTTTATTGTATAATACAAAAAGTATTTTCATAGTTTTAATGATCATGTGGACTTGTAAGTAATAGATAAATAAAAATGAGACAAAAATAACTTGTCTTATTAAATGTTCATCAAAGACCAAGAGAGGCCAATGTAAGAGATTACAACAAGGAATTAAAATAGTACAAAAGCACTGATAGTTTGGTAATATACTGTATGGTGATAGTGATAATTGGGGAACAGATTAGAACCTAATTTATGAACTGTTAATGAATAGTAGACTAATTATTTTGTTGATCCTGGTCACCCTATTTTTCTTGCTTTTGGGCAACAAAGCTTCACCTTTCATTTCATTTTAATACTCTATGGATCCTCTAAATTGTTGTATTGTACTCAGGTGACCGTTAAGGCCCTTGGGCCTCTTGTTTAATTTCATAATTTGAAATGATCTCTCGAAAAATTTTATTAACAAAAGCCCAAGAAAAGTACTTTTTAATAAGTGTAAAGTGTTTTGCTTCTTCCCCCATGGATTTTCAGATTCAAAATTCATGTCAGAAATACTTTTGTAATTTATGCTGATCAGTGTGTTCAGCAGAATATTGCTTGTGTAGTTTGTTTCAGTCTTCCCTTTGACGGACAAGTATTGAATCAGTTCATATTTTAGCCCTCAAATATTTTGCCCCTCTTTTTGTTTTCCATAGTTACATTTCATAAATGTAACTCTGTTTTGAAATATTTTCAAGTTTTCAACATTGTGAAAAGTGATTGCTGGTGTAAAAATTCTTTGTTATATGTATATTTCTTATTTTGTTATTCCCTTAAAGAATAAATTATAAAATTACAATTTTTTAAAATATTTGAATTTATTTTGATTGCATGCAGATTGGTTTGAACTGTTTTACAGTGATGCTGAGTCTTGATTAATTTTTTTAAAAGTTATGATTTTGGCAGCATGCCTATGGAAAGACCATGCTGTAGATTGGAAATGGCCCAAATGGATGATCAAAAACTTCATTTCTAAATACAAATGAAATACTTGAAACTTATATCCACTGAATATTGTCTCCTTTTATTACATTCACTGAATATTATTTCCTTTATTTCTTATAAAAACCATTGCCGTTAATCAGTCCATAAACAACACATAGCAAGCCACCTGTATAGATTTCTTAATTAAGCAACGGCTGTTCCATCAATTATGCATACAATGACATACATATCTATAATACAATATTTAACATATTTAATTTACTTTCAATGCTTTTTTTGGGTCACCTGAGTCACTCAGGTTACCTATTGCTATCTGTTTTTCGTCTGTCGTCGTCCGTCGTGCGTCGTCCATCGTCGGTCGTAAACTTTTGAACATTTTCAGCTTCTTCTCTTGAACCACTGAACCAATTTCAACCAATTTTGGCATATAGCATCAATGGGTGAAGGGGTACAAAAATTTTGAATTTCATGGTCCCTGCCCCCCTGGGGCCTGAGGGGTGGGGCTAAAACCATCAAAATTAGTGTTATCTTTAAAAATCTTCTTCTTTACTCTTGGACATCAAGCAGTCAAATTGTTGGCATGATTGTAATAAGCATTGATCCCTCTACCAAAATTGTGAAATTCATGGCCCCAGGGCCAGGGGTTTTGGTGCTAGGGCAGGGCTATATAGATCATATGGTGAAAGTGCATTATTTCTTTGAAAATCTTCTTCTCTACTCCTGGGTATTATTGAAACAAATTGAAAACATAGTTATGATGAGCAAGGGTGACTCTACCAAAATTTTGAAATTCATGGCCCCAGGGTCAGCAGTTCTGGTGCTAGGGCGGGGCTATATAGATCATATAGTGAAAGTGCATTATTTCTTTGAAAATCTTCTTCTCTACTCCTGGGTATTATTTAAACAAATTAAATACATAGTTATGAT